CAAAAACTTACAGTACATTGGAGCCCTATCCTTCATTTAAAACCATGGATCTATTAGCAAGCAACATGTAAACACAGCCTTCTGGAGTTGCTCTGAGTATACATTACATGTGAAAAAAAAATAAAAAGTTAATTCCCACAACACTTCCTTTAATAGGTACTGGTTAACAGCTCTAAGCCAATGTGTGTAGGTGTTTTTTATTATGTTTCTGCTTTCAAGCATATGCAGATTCTTCACATACTTTCTTTACATCTTTTTTAGATCTTGAATGTAAAAGGTGTTGCTGCCTTAGCAGGAAAAACATATTTTACAGAGATGATAATTACCAAAAAACTAAAAGTAGTAGATGGAAACAGAAGACTTGTGGTAGTCAGAGGGTGAACTTCTTTCTTAGCTTAAGCTTTTTTTCATTTCATATAGAAGAAATTGCTCTCACTGCCTTTTAGGTTATATAACTCTGTCAGTATTTGTTTGAAAGACGTTGAGCTGGAATTCTTTTAACATTTTGCAAAAAAAGTGGATCCAAAATGTAGTTTTTGCTTAGTCTGTTTTGCATCAGAAAGTTGCTCTAACTGTCTTTTGGTTTTATCGTAGGAGTCTTAATGCATCTTAGTGAAGTAATATTAACCCACTCAGCCTTCTGATTTCCCTGTATGTTGAGGTAGTGCTCCTCGGCTGAGGTCTTGACTTCACCTAGACCATTGAAATACTGTTATTTTCTGCCTAAGCCATTCTGTTGGAGTTTCATTGCTGTTTTTAGCATGCATTGCTTTCGCATGACCTATTTGTGACCCTCAAATGCCTTGATAGTTGTGTTTGCCCTCTCAAACACAGTGACCCAATAAGCTGAAGGAAACTTAATGGTTCTCGGGTAAATTTCAGTAGTGGTTCCCTTCTATTTAAGAGTAGTTTCTGAACAGATTACCCTTAGTTTCCTTCAGTCACCTCTGTGTTGTCAGCAGAACAACCCCAGCCTGGGCATGGCTGTATGTAAGCACATCTAGAATACCTATCTCACTTTGTCCCGCTCCTGAACAGTCTGCACCATTCTGGGAAGTTTGATTTAGAACTAGTTTTTCAGTGTTTTTCAAAATTATACATGATTTGGACAATGCCAGTTTTTTAAACTTTATTGCATAGTGTATTTTATAGATTAACTTCTTTGAAGCAATGCATTCGTTTTTCTGTTAATTTAGAACTTAATAGGATCCTGTAAAATCTGTAACATATTGGTCATTATTAAAAAACACATTTTCCTCTGTCAATATGCTCTACTCAGAACTCCTCAAGGGGAAACATTTAAAGTTCACCTGGTTTAATTTCTGTAGAAACATATCTTTGTGGAAACTTTTTCTATCCGATTATTAATTGAAAAAAATATCTACAGATTAATCGATTAGCAAAATAATTGTTACTTGCTGCCCTGGTTTTATTCTTCCATGATTTGTGTTATGATCAAACAAAGAGACACAAAAGGAAAAGAAAATTGGTAGGAAGGCTGAAGAACAAAATGTCTTTCCTAGTTACTCATAGTGTGAGAACAGCATTACAGTAATCTGCTCCTGCAGCCTTGGTTTAGGAGTTGTTCTCAAATCACCTGGGCAGAACCTTCTGTTTTATGTCCATCATATACAATTACTGTACTATTGGCAACTTATTTAGTGTTTATTATGAAATATGAAATACCTATTCCAGACATTAAACTGTGCTTGTTGTTTATCTTAAATAAAGGGACAGATTACTCTGTACCTGGGGAATATGCATATATGATTTTGAAGGGAATGCATTCAGAGTATTTAAACAATGCCTCTTGTAATCAGCTGGTGACCCAGTTTGATGTTGCATTTAAGTAAACCTTCCAAACTTTTCAAATATTTTTATGATTTCATAAAAAAAAAAACAGCTTTCATTGATGTTAAAAACCGCAACATGTATTTTATCTAAGAATCTACGCTTTTGCGTTTGTGTTGTCCTGCTGTATTTCCAATAAAGGCTTTACCTCCATTGGTTTTCTCAGCAACAGGTTTCCTTTGCCGCTTGATTTTTCCAGCATGTTTCCTCATTAACACACGTGTTTATAAAGCCCTGCTGCTTTGCACTGAGTAAGAACCATTACCTTATCATCCATCTTTCTTTAGTTAAACAAACATCTCACCATCTTTTTTCCCCCCTCCACATCGATTTCTAAAAATGCCTTCCTCTGCTTATCCCACTCATTATCTGGCTTGTGTTGGCAAAGCCTCCGCGAGAGGCTCGTTGTGTAACCACCTGGCATGTCTTCCTGTAACAAATACTGCTCTTTACTCCTTGATAACGCTGTAGTCTTTCTTTCTCACTAGTTCATCCCCATTAGTTGAGATTGCGGCTGCTTTTCAGTGTTTGTGGCCCAACAAATTGGGATTTCACAACACCACATGCAGTATTAAGCAGGATAGAGTAACGACTCAAGAGTGTTTTAGGAGTGCAGCAAACCAAACTGGGAGGGCAATAAAGATTGTAAGTGCTACAGATAAAAGGCAAGTAGGAAAATAAAAGTTTGGGCCAGCATGTACTGGGCCGGGGAGAATGGAGAGGGGGGGAATAAGTACTTTAAGGGCTTGCTGATTCATGTTAGTGTCACAACACAAACAGCTATTGTTATTCAAATGGAGCAGAATGGCGTAAGGCAAATGAGCCTACGGCTGATTACTCCCTTGCGAGCCGTTTCAATGCCAGTAGAGTGTCCGTTTTATATTGGTGGATGTTGTTGCACCACTCTCTGCGGGCAACCGGAGAAAAGAGCTTAGTCAGCCGCCAAATGCTCCCCTACACTGCCCTGCTGTTGGCTGTCCCTCCATTTCACGCTGAACACACACACGAGCTGTGGTGATGAGTCACTTCTTCGTTCTTGCGAGCGAGTTAACGGTGTCATGTTAAACTTGGGACAGCTTCCATCTTTAGAGTGCATTCTTCCTGATAACATGGTGTTTGCCTCTATCATGATGGGTTCCATACATACCAGCAAGAATCGATCTGTGCATTGAAAATGCTTTTTCTGCAGAGCTTCAGATCAAGTTAGGAAACCTATGTAGTGTTTTCGTACCTGATTTGGAAAAGTACACATTAGGTGCACGTTAAGAAGTGCTTGCTTTGTATGAGCTTTTGGTCATACCTTCTATTTTACTGTTATTAAGAAACTGTATATGAAAAAAGTTTACAGGCATTCCAAAAAAAGAAAATTTAAAACTATACAGAGAGTTTACAGGCTTTTTAAAGTTTTTGGAACCTAACAGATTTTCCACTTTTTTTTGTTGCTCTCATTTAAATGCTTTAGATCATTTAACTAATTTGAATTCAGGGCAGCATAACACAAGTATGCATAAACAGGCTGCTTATGGATATCTTCAGCATCTAAGCCAGATTAAAATCCAGTGTTTTTTTTTTTTTCTGCAATCCACTTTAGATGATTTTTCCACTGCATGATCCCAGTGCTTTTATACTTTTAAGTTTCTCCTCTTTCTTTTGTGTTTTTTAACGTAGAGCAGAGACGATGGCTCCCGTCAATCGCTGCAAGTTGTCCACTTCCTAAAAAGCACCAGAGAACTACATTGCCAGCACCATGTTTGACATTTAAGAGTACTTTTCTGTTACTTCCCTCCCAACTTCAGTTGAGTTTTATCGCTGTAGACCTAATTAGGTCTAGTTTAGGTACAACAGCATTGTATGTAGCTAAAGAGGGCCGTTTGAAGAGCAGCATCTCCTCCAAGAAATGCACTCAGCTTTTCTCTCTTAAAGTTTTAACAAAAGCGCTAACTCTTTGTGCTGCTGCGGACAGAAATGCCCCACATCAAGCCACCTTTAAATGTTTTCATGTTGCACATTCATCAGGGAGTCCATTACATGTTTTGCTCTTTGCTGTCAACTAGGAATGCAGCTCTATTATATTACACTGGAATAATGGGAAAAGCCATTTGAGTAGTAGAAAGAGTCTCAGACAGAGTGAACTTGGCGTCACTCATTCAGCATCACATTACATCGCTGTGCGTCGACTGGGAGCATGAATCAACCTCTAACTCATGCTAACCGAGAGGAAAAAGCCCCACCGAGGCTGGGAGTTTAATTTTCTGCAAGAAGAAGGAGCTGAAAAGTGGAGACTCGAGGAGACGGACAGAAAGGGAGAAAAGAGAAGCTGTGATAAGGTTTGATGTGGGTTGCATAACTCCATGAATTAAAAATGATGACCATGGGAGGAGAGCTGGTTTATAGCAGGGGGGGATTAAAGGCTCCTCACTGCCCTCTGCAAGACCCATTGGATGGGAATCTAAAGCACGCGGAGAACAATACAGGAGGGACTATCTGGTCTGAGAAAAATGGATTTGAATGTACGGTTATAAACGCCACCTTAGTCCTGGTGTTGACCTGCACTGACATACAATCTAAAAATCAATGTAGCTGTATTTGACAAGATGTGATCGAGGTAAAAGAAATACTTTTTGATTCATACATTAGACCTGGATAAAATGTTATTTTCAAACCGAGGTGGTCTAAAGAGTCTATAATATGTTTGCATCCAATCAGTGTTATATATAATCATAAGTAATGGATAAAGGGGGAAATTTTTTCTTTTTTAAACATGTCTCTGCTTTATTAATATACATTTTAAGAAAGCTTATATGCATAAACCCTTCAACACATGCATCATTACTGCATCATTTTAGTTTTACTGAAAATAAAATATTTATTACAAGCACCTTATTACTCTTCTCTTGTATTCTTTTAATCATTTCCTATTGAGGTAGGCTGTTATTGCCATAAATGCTCAATAAACACCTACCGGTAATTATTTTCATCATTACTGCCATTAATATGTTTTATTTACTGCGTAATCGTTTTATAATTTTTTGTTGTGGTAAAATTTATTTTAATACAGGATAAACTTTTCTATGTGATATTCTGCTACTTGATTCTAGTTGTTTTTGAGGATGATGTAATTCTTTGGTCTCTGTGCTGCTTCTCTGCAGGCAAGCCTGGGACTTGGCCGTGGACATCTGCCTTTCTCAGCTGCCTACCATCATCGAGGAGGGCACCGCCTTCAGAGTAAGTGTGCACGCACACGTGTAGTTGAGGGATAAACCAGCACACTCACACTTTTAAAACGTGAACAAATCCTATTGCCGCTGTTTTTATAAGCGACAATGAGAATGTCTGTGATCACAGGACGTTGAGCCTTGATGGATGGCTTATGTCCTCTGCTGATCTCCATGAACACCAAACTGTTCTCGATTGCTTTGCAGCTTTCCTCCCTTCAGCACCAACACCTTCTCTAATAATTACTCATACTCACACATTCTCAGGGGATAACATTGTAAAATGTCAGCTCTTATAACTCAAGCGTGTGTCAAATAAAAAAGGTTTTCTGAAACCACTGGCCCTGCACTTTCAGCCACCGGTGTGTTTATTGTTATATTTACTGACATGGCAGGGGACTCTGATAGAGATGCTGAGTTCAATGAAAACATGCTGCAAGAGGCTTATTGAGCTGATGATGAGCTCATATACACTATATTGCCAAAAGTATTTGCTCACCTGCCTTGACTCACATATGAGCTTAAGTGACATCCCGTTCCTAATCCATAGGGTTCAATATGACGTCGGTCCACCCTTTGCAGCTAGAACAGCTTCAACTCTTCTGGGAAGGCTGTCCACAAGGTTTAGGAGTGTGTTTATGGGAATTTTTGACCATTCTTCCAGAAGCGCATTTGTGAGGTCGCACACTGATGTTGGACGAGAAGGCCTGGCTCTCAGTCTCCGCTCTAATTCATCCTAAAGGTGTTCTATCGGGTTGAGGTCAGGACTCTGTGCAGGCCAGTCAAGTTCATCCACACCAGACTCTGTCATCCATGTCTTTATGGACCTTGCTTTGTGCACTGGTGCACAGTCATGTTGGAAGAGGAAGGGGCCAGCTCCAAACTGTTCCCACAAAGTTGGGAGCATGGAATTGTCCAAAATGTCTTGGTATGCTGAAGCATTCAGAGTTCCTTTCACTGGAACTAAGGGGCCAAGCCCAGCTCCTGAAAAACAACCCCACACCATAATCCCCCCTCCACCAAACTTTACACTTGGCACAATGCAGTCAGACAAGTACCGTTCTCCTGGCAACCGCCAAACCCAGACCCGTCCATCAGATTGCCAGATGGAGAAGCGCGATTCGTCACTCCAGAGAACGCGTCTCCACTGCTCTAGAGTCCAGTGGCGGCGTGCTTTACACCACCACATCCGACGCTTTGCATTGCACTTGGTGATGTATGGCTTGGATGCAGCTGCTCGACCATGGAAACCCATTCCATGAAGCTCTCTGCGCACTGTTCTTGAGCTAATCTGAAGGCCACATGAAGTTTGGAGGTCTGTAGTGATTGACTCTGCAGAAAGTTGGCGACCTCTTCGCACTATGCGCTTCAGCATCCGCTGACCCCGCTCCGTCAGTTTACGTGGCCTACCACTTCGTGGCTGAGTTGCTGTCGTTCCCAAACACTTCCATTTTCTTATAATACAGCTGACAGTTGACTGTGGAATATTTAGGAGCGAGGAAATTTCACGACTGGATTTGTTGCACAGGTGGCATCCTATCACAGTTCCACGCTGGAATTCACTGAGCTCCTGAGAGCGACCCATTCTTTCACAAATGTTTGTAAAAACAGTCTGCATGCCTAGGTGCTTGAATTTATACACCTGTGGCCATGGAAGTGATTGGAACACCTGATTCCAATAATTTGGATGGGTGAGCAAATACTTTTGGCAATATAGTGTATCTTGATGGACTCATTTTGATTCACTACCACCAACCCCCAACCAACCGTGCCCTCAGAGGTGAGCTTCTTCTCCATGGCTCCCTTGGGGGTAGTTTGCCTTCCTGGTACTCAGAATGAAAACACTTACCAGCATCATAATTAAGCCCCTGAGGAATGTTAAAGCAGAGCTTCCCGCTCTGTGTAGGATTCAGAAATAGAGTAGTCTGCTGTTCTTTGGCTATGTGCATTATTTTTTCGGTGCTTTTTCAAAATTGGTGCTAAAAATGCATATAGTGAAATCAAACCAAAGCATCTACAAAATAAACCAAAAATCTCCAAAATGTCTTTTTTTATTTTTGCTTAAATTTTTAACAGACTTTATTGTTGATCTTCAAAGAAACTTTTATTCGATTAAGACAGTTTTAAATACTAATAATTCTCAGAATGTAAAACACTTTCAAACTAACCTTGGCCCTGTGGAAAGATACGTTTATGTCTTAGGGGCTGAATTTCTTAAAACATGTTTTTTACACACAGAGAAGATCTTCAAAGAAGGTGTAAAGTTAAGCAGATGGTGCGTGCAAACTTATTAATAAACTTGTGCCTTTATCAATATGCAGATCATATTCTAATGACCCACAATGACCCACAAATTCTTGGGTGATGGATATGTAAATTAAAACATTTACCAGATACAAAGCAATTATCTAAATCTAAAACTCACTCTCACACTTTTGCAGCTTTTTTAGTACTTTTGAATATCAGGCGCAAACTCGCATCCAAAAAAATCCACCGCAAATGAGGACAATGCCAAACATTTTGAGGCTGTCAGAAAAATTTATATTAGAATTATATTAATACAGAAAAAACATCTGCACAGGCTGACCCTTTTGCTACGTTCGGACCGCAAGCGTTGGAAGCAGCAAAAAAGCTTCTGCTGCCTAATTTTGATGCTTGTCTACATTAAGGTCAGACGCGTGTCAAGAGCAGCTTTGACGACTCTCGACCCGATTTGGTTAAGCCTTTGTATTTTTTTCTCAAAATTAGAAATTTGGGCCGTTACCCACACTAAGAGGACTATGAGGCAAGTCAGAAAATATTAATAGAAATAAGTAATTTTAAATGGAAAGCTCAGTACATTACTTAAAATTTTCCACTACTTCAGGCCATACTAATTTATTTTACATTTTTAATTCTAGAAATTGCAACCTAAAGTTATTCCTAAGCCTGTTTACACCCCTGATAGATATCGATTTTTGATCATTTGAAACATTTATTCTTTACATTTAACTTTAAAATAATGTCAAAACACTATTTATCCTTTTCAATACATTTTGGAAAAGTTTTCTGACATTACAGCATTTAAACCCTTGAATTATTTGCTGACTAGTAGTTTGCATGTTTGCTCTGTGTTTTTGACAAGTTATAGTTGGTGAAATGGATAAAGAGGGTTGGGCTTTTTTCCAAACTACTTCATCTATTTTTTCTTAGTCCGATAAACAGATTATCTTTAAGATGCCATCTACCCTGCATTCCCTGTAAAAACCACACACCAATGAAAAGGTCAGGGTTTCAGGGAGTATTTTTCTCCGGCTACGATTATTCATGAATGAATCCATCAATCCTTTGCAGCGCTGCTATTTCCCTCCTCAACATCCATCAGTGAACCAAACGATTGCATAATTCCTGCTGTAATTTCACCTCGCAGCATGATCAAATAACATGCAGCCAGCAGCCAATCGGGCAGAGGGACGGGAAGCTGAGTGTGATTGATCGGGATTTATGTTGTTACTGCAGTGCAGTGTCATCTCTCAGCTCATTATGTTGGACCCTTTATGAAATGATGAGCTAGTCGCCGCGGAGTGGCTGTGTGTGTTTGAGAGTCAGCTCTGTGCGAAGCTCTAACATCTGTTACATCTGCTGTTTGTGTCCACAGCACAGTCCATTCTTCGCAGAACAGCTCACTGCGTTTCAGGTGTGGTTGACTATGGGTGTGGAGAACAGAAACCCTCCTGAACAGCTCCCTATAGTTCTGCAGGTATGCACACACACAAACACGTCATAATGTTTTATACTCATGCTTTAGCCCAGACATGATCTGCACACAGATTAACATCAAAGTAAAATTTATGCTAAATTTTTTATGTTTCGCTTTTTTTGCTTGAATATTTTACGTACAATCTAAACAAACTACAAAGATTTCAAATTGGTCAGTATTCTTTCTTTATTACTTCCATCTATCGACCTATCTAAAATATTTATTTATTTATTTTATGAACTCCTTTTCTGGTGTTCCTTATGTCCTCGCTTTCTTCCTTGCTTTCTTGTGTCCTACCTTCTTTCACTCTTCCATCATTTTCTACAGCCCTTATATGCTTTTCCTTCATCTTTCTTTTTATTTTTCATCCTTTTTTTATTCTTCTGTCCTTTCCACTGTAGAAAAATCTATCTTAAATGCATAAAAAAAATTATGTTGATTTAAAAAAAAAAAAAAAACAACAACAAATAATTCTGAAGATAAGTCATTCCATACCTGGATTTAATTTTGGGAAGGCGACTTAACCCCTGCACATTTTCAAACGTCTCTTTTGGTCCCCTGCACTTTTTACTGTCCAAAAACATTGCTATCCTACAGTACGCAGACATTTGTCGAGCACTAGGATCATGCAGAAAACTGCGGTCAAACTAAAGCCTGCTTCCCTGAGCTTAGACCGCCCACAAGCTCCTGATTGGTCCACCCTCTTTTTTTTTTGTGTGTGATTGACTGTCACCGCTGTCACTCCTGACAAGTTCACTTTATAAAATATCTGAATCAGGTCTGTGATTAATGGGTCAAACAAGTTAGTTATATTAAAAAAGTACTTGTTTCGTCCCCCCACCCCCCCACTTCTGAAATCAGAATTTTGTCAAGTTCAATACAGGTGGTGTCATTCTAAAATCTCCTAATAGTCTGTTTGGAACTGTGGATAGAGTACATCACTAGTTCATGATGCCTACAACCATTGGGATCAGTACCAAGTAAAGTGGAAATAAGAGATTAATGCTATACATTGAATTATACTGCAGGCTTCAGCCTTGTTATCAATATTTAGCTCTATACATGCCGATTTAGGTACATTAGTTTATAATCGAAGCTGAAAAGAACAAAGGGTGATGCATGGTTTGAAAAGAAAAAGAAGAGTCTATGAAATTTAATTGCATATCGTTTCTTCCCTCAAACTCCGGTCATTGCTATATCATACGTTTCACAATATTGTTCTTCTTTTATTGACTAGGTCCTCATGAGTATCTTTTAGAATCACACAGTAACCTGTGATAGTCAGGACATTTGAATTGAGAAAGCTTCCTGGAGGGGAATCGAAATGTCTTGGAACCTTGGAAACCATGAATTGATTACTAATGATCATCAAAACAAACAAACTTATCCATCAGTTAGTTACTGGAAGAGGATCTTTGCTGTGCTTTCTGTTATGTGCCTGTTTCAGTTAACTTTCTCTACTTCTGGCTTTATTTAATCTGTTTTCATAATTAGCACTTGTGCAATGATCATATTAAGGCACTTCATTTGCATGCATAACATCCAACATGTGTGCATACACAAGAGTGGGATGGCTTAGAAATCAGTTGTTAAAACTTTTCTACAAGTTCACCGAATGCTTGATTTCTCATATACAGTGAGAAAGTGAGGAGAGCATGCGTCTGCAGATAAGAAGAGATGCAGTGGATAGATTTACAGCTTGGAGCATAATCTCAGCCTGAGATAGAGCACATTGCATTCAGTCAGAACCAAAAGAGCATTTTTATCTGGAAAGCTGTTACTATCAGAAACAGTTGTTGGTGACATCCTGTAGGATTAAATATTATAATCTGATTAACTATTGCTCCAGATTACAGTTATATGTGCTAGCCAAGCCTGCAGTCCTCTGAAGCAGGGTTCACTGACCTTTTTAAGGCAGAGGTCTACTTAATGTACTTAATGGGTACTTTTTTTATTTATAATGTTCCTTTAGATGTTTTGCTATGAAATATCTATAAATGCAAATATGATTAAAAAAGAAGAGCAACAAAATAAAATAAGTTTCAAATAGAGCCCACTGGAGACTTCTACTGTTTTCAAAAGATGGCTGAAGGTACCATATGGTCCTCGAGGGCCCGCAAGCACCATGTTTTCTGACCCCTTCTCTAAAGCATGCAAAGTCAGTGCATTTGAAATCGGTTATTCCCCCTTTCTGAACAGATTTGTCACTGAATCTGTATATTTTGTGTTAGAAAATTACTTTAGAATAAAAAAAAAAAACACAAACAAAAGTTTGATACAAGAAAAAAAAAATGATGGAAATCTTGATTTTGGCCTGACTAATAAGTTTTTGTTGACTTTTACCCATGACTTCTCTGAATCAAAGCCTTCCCCATTATGTGAACTATATCTTTAAACCCACTCTAACTGCATAATGTGTTGCTGTTGGCAATTCCTGAAATGTAAAACTATGGGTGATGCAGGTTGCACAGAAAGGGCTTTATTTTCCATTATGAAGCAATAGCATCTTGATTAAACTCACCAATCATCTGCCAGGATTGCACCTGGAATATTACTGCTACAGGGACTTCTTCTTATGCTGAGACCTGAGTCTTAATTTATTATAATTTATTACATCAGGCATTCTCTTTTTTTCCACCTCTTACCTCAGGAGCATGACAATCTTTGATGGAAGTTCAGTTCAGGACTTTTGGGCCAATTTCCTGTATTACAGCCCTATAGCTAAACCCATGTCAGTGGCTGCTGCTGTGCTTGCTTGAGATGTAACATTTTGGGGGGAGGGCTGCAGTCTGATGCCGTGTTCTCGTCCTCCCACCTCTGCCGCCATCTTCCCCACAGGGTGGTACGCTGGCAGTGTGGCATTATATCACATCGTAGTAGCAGCATGGAGCTGTCCGTGCTGAATGGTAATTTCCTGCTGAGTCAGCGCACTGCTAGCAGAGGCACATCCATACAGCGGGGCCCATTGAGACCCGTTAAAAGCCAAGGAAAAAGGCAGCATGATTGAAAGCATGTGGACAGTGTGCGTTTGCTTGTTTTGGAACGACAGGGAAACAGCTGCAGTAGCCTTTCAGATTGTGCATCTTCATGCAGCTTTATACTTTCATAAGAAAAAAGATCTGAAGGGTACTTAAGGTGTCTGAGATTACAGGACAAGCCTACATCACATAGATGTATTAACATTTCTTTAGGGTTTATGAGTTGATGTCAAAGTATCCTCACATTCCATTTAAAGGATGAATGATTGACACGAAGCAGGCAAAGAAGAATAAACCATCAATAATGCTCTTTAGTAAAATGAGCAACCAACACATCTGAGGAGGTTGGAAAAGCTGCGTTGTCTTGACAACAGCCATTTCATCTAAAAGGATTAGCAGATTGTGTAAAGGGATTACATGATTTCTGTGTTTTGGTAACAAAGAAGAATTCACACCTATTTGTTCCTCTACATGCGATTATCGTTATTAAGCAACACGATGCACATAAAGCCTTAAATATTTTAGCATTTTGCAGCTGCAGCACACAGTATTAGGATATAAACTGGTAGACCAAATCAAATCTATGCATGATCGGGAAGTGGAAGGAAAAAGCAGATATGGTTTTAAGTTGTAGCTGGAGAGTTTTACCCCTGCTGAATCAGTAATTATTCCCCCCCCTCTTTAATGCAAGTTACAGGAGCAACCCTGTCATTCTAACTCATGCCCTGCTGAACGATGCAGCTCTGTCCCAATCTGAACTCTTCTTTTTTTTTTTTTGCAGCCTTTAACAGGTTTTCTTCTAGGTTTGTGCTATGTTCACCATAACGCTTCTCTGATTGACCCTCTTCTTGCACTTCTTGTCAGTTTACAGGAGTGGCCATGTCTTGGTTTAAAGTAGGGATCCAAACAATTAGGAAAAGAGGGCATTGCAACATACGATGCGTGATGATATTAAAAATAAAACACTTTTTTATTTCCACTCTGTTTTATAAACTATTCTTAAATGCCCACCTTCTCCAGAACTTTCCACGTTGTTTTTTTAATTCAAATGATGCAATTTGTTCACTCATTTTTCTAACAAACCTTTATTTACAGATTTGAATCCAGTTGTATTGAATTACATTAAAGGCCAGTTTATTATATTTTAGTGCTTCTCAGTTGCTACAGATGGGTTGCTTTACCTTCTACTTTTCTACTTTTGAATAAAGAGCTAAGAAGTTGCAGTAGGAATTTGACAAAACGTGATGCAGTTCATGGAGCGCAAATACTTTTGCAAAGCCCGGCAAAATGATTCGCTCTAATGCTCAGACACACAGGGTGATAGGAGGGACTGCTTACTCACAGGTGTAAAACAGAGGTGAAGATGCGAGGAGGTAAAAACACACTCACGTTCTCTGTTATGTTGCTGCGTTGATCTGGGATTTTATTTCCATCCCTTCCAGGCCTTCTACTTTATGAATAATGCACACCCAATGCACTCGGTGATGATGAGAGCGTGAGAAAGATATGGATTTAGTCAGCTTTATGCTTGCACCAGGGGGAGAGGTTCGGATTGGGTTGTTGCCCTGTGGCTTTTCTGCGGCACCTGCGTCACGTTCAAATACACCACATTCCCACGCTCCCCATAAGAACTGTAGGCAGCCACGGGTTCGGTCTTCCCCCAGCCTCCCCCCTGTTTGTATGGTCACGCTCGCAGGCCGACGTCCCCCTAAGGACTCTGTTCTTGTACCGTGTGTAGGTGGAGATGCTTGTGTGAGTCTGCGGTCCTCCATATGCTCGTTCCCACGCACACTGTGACAGTCACGTTGAGCTGGTCCGGTGTCCTGCCTTCACACGGGGTTTTAGTGCTTCACTGCATAATCTTAGCAAACATAAGCATTTGTGTATTTTTAGCACCTGCCATATGCATCCTATAATTAGCCCACTGTGTCCACTACAGCTATGGAAGTTATTCCCAGTTGGCGTCAGTATTTCATTATATCAGCACAGGTAAGATACAGCAGCCATTCAGATGGTGTCACATACTAATAACACTGTTAGCCTCTAAAAAATGGCAGCCAAGAGGAAGCACATAGCTGCCCACATAGGCATGTAATGGCTCTGGATCTGGCATGTTATAGCAGCAGAGGTGGTGGAAGCGCCACCTGTTTCACCCCACCCTCTCTGCCCTTTTCCCTGCTGTTCATTCTTCCTTTAATCTCAGACTTCCTTCCATTTTTGAAGGCACACCCCTGACAAGTGTTTTCTCGCTCTCTCTTGCTCTCTTTCAGGTCCTTCTGAGTCAAGTGCATCGGCTGAGGGCTCTGGACCTGCTCGGACGGTTTCTGGATTTGGGACCCTGGGCTGTCAGTCTGGTCCGTTCATCTCTTTTTTAAATCTTCTTGACACACTGCTGGGTGAATTTATGGAACAGTCAAATCCTGAATATCATTACAGTTGTAAAGGAAAGCTCTATGTTTACATATTTAAGCTTTCTCTCCTCGATTCTTTCCTGAGAAATGATCACTCTGAACAAACATTTATGTATTAAATTACTATGATGCATGACAGCAGATTTTGACAGAAATTGTCACCATCCATCATCCATCATACATTGTCATAATTTATAGATGCCAGCAATTACCACCAGGCTCACTTCTTCAGGAAGTCGGCTGAGAATACCAGTTAAAGCATTTTATACATTTCCAGTGTCACACCCTGCCACATCATCACATCATTACATCATACATATATTTGTACATAAGGAGTCTTCACTGGTTCGAGCTATATCTAGATATTATGAAGTGGTTTTAGAACAAGGACAACTATTTCATTCCCAAATCTATATGTACATATTGAAGATGATGACTTTTTACTGTCCTAATTAGATAAACTGCATTTGAAATCACCACTCTTGACACTTAAAGGGGAACACGTTTTTTTTTTACATTGGCCCCTTGATTTTAAGTTATTACATCATGTTCTACTCACCCATATTAGTTTTGTGTCATTTGGAGCTGTTCTGGAAATATTCAGTTAGGTTATATCCAAGTAACGTCTTCCTATGGGCAACGAGTTGAAGGCACAAACTAAACTGTTCATAATTTATTCTTTATGGTACGCCAGCATTCATAACATGAAGGAGAATCACTGTCTCCCAGACATCCATGGTTATATTTTTTTATATTTATATTTTTGAAAAGCAAAGCAGAGTGTGTATGACGTCATCCGCGTGCGCCGGCTACCATTCATTCATCCTGTCCACTGAACTGCTGCTAGTTTTACTCTCATGCCTGGAAGATGTCTAGTGCTACTACCACAGATGATCTCACTCTCCAAATGGAAACGACGATTCAGATTAGCTAGCCGAACGAATAGAAGGGGTAGAGCGTAGCCGCCTGTGGCCCGGGCTGCCTGTCACAACTCTAGTCCGGCGCGCGCTGATGACATCATACATGCGCCGCTTTGTTTTTAAAAGATATAAATATAAAAAATATAACCACGGATGTCTGGGGAACAGTGATTTACCTAAATGTTTTTAATACTGGCGTACCATAAAGAATAAATTATGAACAGTTCAGTTTGTGCCTTCAACTCGTTGCCCATAGGAAGATGTTACCTGGATATAACAAAACCGAATATTTCCAGAACAGCTCCAAATGACACAAAACTAATATGGGTGAGTAGAACATGATGTAATAACTTAAAATCAAGGGGACAATGTAAAAAAAAAACTGGTTTAAAAGGCAGGCTGTATTTGGGTTTAACAAGCACAGACATGGATGATAAAAATAATCCTAACAACATGCAGGTCACGATGGTGATAACTGTATTTTTATGGAATATATCGAAATAATCTGAGAGATTTGGAAATCTGCAATAAAACACTAACTTTGCAAAGTGGAAAGGACTGTCACCTGAAGTATGAAGGTTTTTAAAAAAAAAATCAAATCAAGTATCCTATTTACTCACGTTATCTTGATCTAGTGACGTATTTTGTTTTATAATCTGATGCTCAAACATTTCCTAAAAGGGCATAAACAAACACCTAGTGGTGAGTATTGGCTTGTTGCGATACCATACGTGTCACAACACTTGGGTAATGATGCGATATTATCAAGATAGTGCAATATCACTATATATTGTGATATTTTTCCCAGCTATCAAAAATGAAATCTATCGATTAAAAAAAAGCATGTGCTGTATACGTTGAAAAGAATCCATGTTGTTTGGGGTTTGAGTCAGTCCACATCTTCTACTGTGACTGCCTCAACTACAGAAATAGTGCTGCAGCACACAGCAAATGGGCTCCACGGCCCTATCTATCTATTGGCAGGGCAGAAGTAGCTCATTGTTTTAGATAAAAGAAAATAAAAATAAATCCATATTAGGAACTAAAAGATTGATATTATATTGGGCAGACATGAAATCACAATATATCACCACACCGATTTTTTTCTCATACCCCTACAAACACCTGTCGGTTAAATAAACTACCTTTAGTTTAGAATTTATGGTCATATTTACTCCCTGTAGTAAATAATAAAGCTTACCTTCTATTCAGAGGGAATGAACAGTGAGTCACACGTTAGAGGGAATCCAATTATTTGATGAACAAAGAGTGGCAGCTGCTCCAATAAGTTTACATGAAGAGTTAATAACTTTAATGATATTAAAGATATTGTTTCATAGAACTAGATAAGTCATTAAAAAAAAAACTCTTTTTTTTACTCTTTTGATAATTTTTGATAATTATTTACAATAATCACCCATTATTGATGTTATAATATAAAACCTTTATTCTTTCCTTAGATGTCTGCATTTTTCCCCTGCCCCGTAAACACCGGCGCTGTGTTTGTTTTTGTGTTGCAGGCTCTTTCTGTTGGGATCTTCCCATATGTGTTAAAGCTGCTCCAGAGTTCAGCCAGGGAGCTGCGGCCGCTGCTGGTGTTCATCTGGGCTAAAATCCTGGCCGTTGACAGTGTAAGTACTGTAAAACACTCACACACACAGATAAGTATTTTGCTCTTGTTTTATTCAATTCTTTAGTTGGTTCACTTTCATATTAATATAAGCAGAACACTTGGAATCAGCTTCAATTTGAAATTTATGAAAAAATAAAGAAGTTAGGGTTGCGTATAAAATGTTGTTTAATCAATGTTTAATCAGCATAGTGACTGTAGAGGAATTTATATTTCTGACAGCTTCATAGAGACAATAGAGTTGCTCCATAATTGTCCAGTAAAAGCATTTTGCCAGCTTCCTCACAGCCTCCCTCTGGATGAGTAAAACATAACAGCGATGGATGGAAGCAGGAGGGAGGTCTTTTACTTCAGTTGGGCTTATATTTAATTAACAATGACTGAATGCTGTAGGGCTAAAGTATCAGCACAGCAATATTCTTGTTAGAAAATTTAAGGTAAAAAGTGGCACCATGTAAGAAACGGCACAAAACTTTTAAGGCCTTAGAGTCTAAGCATGGCATTCTGTTTTCCCCTACAACTCTTGCCAATAACAAACCATCTGAATGATAAAAAGAGGATATTTTATATATGTTTTATATAGTATAGTTATATAGTATAGTTTTTATATATTTATAGATATTGTTGCTTTGTTAAACTAATGAAAAATCAGCTGCAGGTGAAAATTACAGTTTCATGATGGTGAAACAGAGACAATCCACATCTTTTAACAGTAACTGTTACCAATAAATGTTCTACATCCTTATTAACATTGTTTATTATCAACATCTTTATTAGCGTTACTATAAATAGCTATTTTGGAGCCTAAAAAAGGTCTGAATACCAAATTTGATATGTTTATGTGATTATTGATTTTTTATCTTTAAAGGTATTCCGAATGTTTTATTCCCTGCCGAATTTTAAAACACGACTCAAGACTTACTTTTATTCACTGGCTTTTAACACTGGCAGGACTTAGTTGTTTTGAGGTTGTTTATTTAGCTTAAGCAAATTCATATTATTGCCTTATTTTATATATTTATGCTGTATTTTATTGTGTTTTATTATTTTTAGCTATGTTCAGCACTTTGTTTTCAGCTGTAGCTCTTTTAAAGCGCTCTACAAATAAAGATGATGATGAGGATTTTAGGTTTCTGTCATGCAACCACTACTCTATAAGTTATTCCATGAGGTGCCTTATGATTTCCAGAACTTCCCAAATTCCTTGACATCAGAGGATTGTGGTGGTGTTCTCATTTTTGCTCATTTGGCCATCCCATCATGGGACCGTTGGGACCGTTTCCTCACAAAATGCAGAATTGCCTGTTGCAAGCTTTAAGCGCCTAAACCATGAGTTTCAGTCTGGTTATCGGTTAGTTTAAGAGGGTGAGAAAGATTTTCTCTAAGCAGAAAATTCCAAAGTCTAGGTTTTCACTGAGTATCAAGAACTGATTTATTTATTTTGTTCATATATTTATTTATGTTGTTTATTGGTCACTTTCCAAATAATGTGTTCAATTCAGAATGATTCTTCTATATTTTAAACTCTATGAGCCACAGTCCATGGTTATTCTTCCCTGTTGCTCACACATAAAGAGAATGCAAGGGATTTTATTTTTCATTCCATCTACATACATCTGCCTCATGTAGAATCAGATCCATATGTGCAATATGGAGGAGTGCGTCCTTTTCAATACGCGGGAGCTTCCTTTCTTGAAGTGTAAAGAGCAAAGCAATCTCTAAGTGGGCACTGGAAAAAATCGAAATCTAGATAAGTCATAAGTGCATTTGTTTTTGGATTGAGGAGGTAAAAAGAGACCGCTTGCCAATGGAACGAGACAATTTACACTTAAACTAAGAAAACACAATTGCATTATCTTATTTCAAGTGCATAATCTAAATATCTTATTTTAAGAGTAAGAATTCTCATTCCACTGGCAAACTATCTTTTACCATCTCAAATTAAGGGTAAATACACTTAATTTAAGAAATTTTTATTTGTTTCTAGATCATTTTTCCAGTGGGCTTAAATTAAATTTTAGCTTTGTGATTGTTCTCTTTGTCAATATAAGTTTTTTTTTAACCAAGCTCATGTAACACAAAAAAGGTCGGAGGCAGAATTAGAGCTCATTTTGAACAGAAGATATTTAGTACACAGTACACAATTTAGTACAAAATTCATGAATTGAAAGTGACTCCAGCTTCAGTTTGTGTAGATTATTAGAAAACTTACTGTTATATTTTGTGTTTTTTGGAAAACTCCAAGGTGCAAATCTACAAATTGCTTCATAGCAGCTCTTTTTAAAGGGTTGTGATTTCATAATAGCTTTTTTTTATCAGCCAACGTGTTAAGAGTTTCTCTCCTGGGGGAAAGATAATAATAAGGCTAACTCTGAATGACGAGTGAAACCTCTCAACTCTTCTCTCCATCATTACAGTCATGTCAAGCTGACCTGGTGAAAGACAATGGACACAAGTACTTCCTGTCTGTGTTAGCTGACAGTTACATGCCTGTAAGTATAAAGTGAATAATGTGATTGTTCCGGTTTCAAGTGATGCAAAGCTGTTAAATTATTAGGGCTGGGCAATAAAGCAATAATATGTATCGCAATAGACCCCTGATCAATAACCATAAAACAGTACTTCCAAAAGAATTTCCTATAATTTTACTGAACTCTGACCCAGAACTGCAAAGCATTCTGGGGGATGTAGACAGAGGAAAGGATTTAGCCTTTAAACTCTTAACAGAAAAGATAACAAGGTTGGTGCTTTGGCTGACCTCTTTTTGAAAGTTACCTTTAAATAAGGTTAGGGTAACAGTTTTAGTCCATCCTATCTCCGCTGGTGCTCATTAGAAATTGGAAAACAAAAAAGTTGCTCAGTAATGAGTATCGATTGACATGAAGGGCTCATATTGCGATACATTTTCCAGCCATAATGCTCAGCCCTAACTACGAGGGCCGTTTAATAAGTAATGCCCCTGGCCTACTTCCAAATGTTTGATCAAGCTGAAAATTTGCATGTGAAGTATTTTAAATCTCTGTAGATTTAATAGCAAATTACAGCTCTGAACTTATTGTGGTTTCTGATTTACGGGAGAAAACGGGCGATGAAATGAAAGTAACCTATAGTGATAATGTCTCATAATATAACCTTGTAAAACATTTCGCAAGGTCATATAACGGGCCTCACAACCACAAGTTACTTTAATTTAATCAAAAGTCTCCTGTGGTGCGAGTCCTTTCCAATAGATAAACCGGCTCATTGCTCGACACACAACTAGGGCTGGGTACCGAACTTCGGTACTTTTATGGTACCGACCGAAATGCTTTGGTTCTACAGAGTATCGAAACATGCCTCGTCTTTCGGTACCAAGTTTCGGTGATTGGCTGTAACACTTAACGTGATTGCGTCATCCAGGAAAAATACACAGGTGGTCACGCCTACAGCCAGGGTTCATGTGAACTGGTTGCGAGCGTCGCGGAACCCCTTTAAAATGCCCCCCAGGTCAAAAGTGCGGCTTCACTTTATTAAGACTGATGCCAATAGTGTGCAATGCAATACATCGTGCACGGAAACAATTTAGAGCAGAAAGTTTCCCGGTGTTTGACTGCTAGAAGAGCGGACCGCAGCCGGCGCGACCATCCTCCTCTCAGCAGCCTGTGGGCAGAGCAAAGCCAGAACGGAGTGAATCATGCTGCTTTCAAACTGGACGCAGCAGGAGCAGCAAAATCACGTCTGCTGCTTCCTTTTTGCTGCTTGTACTAGCTTCTGACGCGCGGCTAAGGCAGCTTTGCTGCTCAGGCTGCGCGGCCGAAAAGTGGCTTTGACGCGCGTTGGGCGGAGCTACTCTATCCTTTCTCTGCCTTGCAGCTATATTTGCTGTGATCAGTGGGAATAAAGTAGTTTTATTATGTTTTTAAGTGGGAAAATCGGCCTGAAAACTTAATCAGTGCAGTCAGTTCATCCTGCCTTCCAATATTTCTGTCGGAGCCGCTCAGACCCCCACATACCAGCGGTGCGCTGTCAATAGAATCCCATTCAACGGGCTTGTTTGTCAGACATGGTAATTTTTCTAAAGGAAAACTGCTAAGTAAAAAGGTCCTCACAATGTAACAGTGAATATTAGACACTGATTTTTTTTTTTTTTATGTAAGAGGAAAAATGTAAATGGAAAAATCAGAGCTTAAAATAAAACTCAAGATTTGTACTTCTTTATGTTGTGTAATTTTCTTTTTCTTCGAATTGATATTATAAAACTGGTATCGAAAAAAGTATCGATCAGGAACCGGTATCGAAGTGAAGGTATCTGTATTGGTACCGGTACCGAAAATTTTTGAACAATACCCAGCCCTACACGCAACAGGCTCCATTTCAGGCTTTACTCAGTTCAAACACCTGTAAGTCAGAAACCACAAATAGTTCACAGCTGTAATTTGCTACTTAATCTATAGAGATTCAAATAACGTCACATGCAAAATTTCAGCTGGATCAAACATCTGGAAGTGTGTCAGGGGCACTACTTGTTGAACGCCCCTTGTACAGTACCATGTTGGAGCTGAGGGATGGTTTTCCTTCTTTCAGGCTGAACATCGGACCATGGCCGTCTTCATCTTAGCCGTCATCGTCAACAGCTACAACACAGGGCAGGTAAGAACCAGCTTGACTTTACATGTGTGGCTCCAAACTGACCTCCAGAGGAAGTCCATGACAAATTATTAATTCACTTCTTTAACTAGGAAACAGGCTTCTCTAAGCGGCAGCTGTCATCCTTCTCACCTGTTGTATATGTCCAGTAGATATTGCTTATGTGACAGTATTGTCGGAAGCAGTTACTTCTGCAGCCTCCGTTTCGGCCCCAGCCACCTATGTGGGGACACTTTATCACTAGTGAGTCACTTCCTTCTGCCCCAGCCTCCTGCGCGCAATCCCAGAAGCCTTTTATGTCTGCTGCTCATCAAATACCCAACGGCGAAATGTCGGGATATTGTTGCTCCTCATTTCACCGAGTACACCAAGACGCCCAAACAATTCCTGAAAGGAAATATTAGTTATATTTCTGTCTAGTTGTGGTTGTTATTGGAGTCTTTTATTTCCACTCATGTGCCCGTCTCTGATATTCCATTTTATAAATGTGACAAATCAAAGAACATGTACGTGCCGTCAGGCTCAGAAACGCCAATCCTTCATGGATATTTCTCTGTAAACCGAGCGCTCCCCTCGTCTCCTGCTGGTTTCTGTAAATAATAGATGATCATGACATTACAGAGAGACTAAGTTCTTGCTCCCTTTCTTTATTTTCTTGTTTATTTCTAATGTTAAACAGGAAATTGAAGGATTTAAAGCTGAGAACAATTTATTTTATTTTTTTTTATTGTGCAAAGACCTTCAGAAAGCTTAGCAGTGGCAAATTATATTATAATCACAATTACATTTAATTAAGTTTTTTTTTTTTTTTTGGCTAAGCTAATAATTTTTTTTTTTTAGTAAGCCTACTGACTGTTTATTAAACTGTTTTTAAATGCCTTGTTTTGATTATTGTATGTCACAAAATTACATAAGAAACAACAATCTAATGGTAAAAACTCTAGGAGAGCTAGATAATATAAGATACCATATAATGAAGATATAAGATAAATAATTTGTAACCTTTGATATTGTTTTAAAATAAATAAAAAGCATGCTAAAGAATATGAAAAGGCTGAGGATGGACAAAAATAGGTCTAATTTTAACCATTAGTGGAACATCAAGGAAAACATTTCATTGAACCAGTACCACCTAAACCTTTTAACATGACTCAGTAATGTGTATTTAAACGTAAAAAAGGGGGCCTGTATGATTTAAAAAAAAAAGAAAAAATGCATTCACAGGATTTTTGATTATTAAAATTGTTTACAAATTTTGATATAATGAATAATGGAGCTTTATTAATGCAGAAAAGATGCATCATAAAAACAATGTGGATCCAGCATTTAATGAGGTCTTCCATCATGTCACTTATACAGTTTCCTAACAGCAGCAATACAAATGTGTCTCTGCTCTGCTGTACGTAGGTCACATGATCTTACCAGAACATTGGACCAAAAAAAAAAAAGCTGTTAATTTGAAAAGACAGAAATGAAGGAAGTAGTCCAATCCCACAACAGTAAAATCCTAAAGGTTTCTCATTAGAATTACTGCCTGCTGTACTTTCTTTGTGCCAGGGCTTTATAGGTACAGGAGAAATCATCAAAGTACAACTGAGCAACAATAAAAGGCAAAGGTAAATATCCGCTGATCTGTGTTTTAAATTAGAAATAACCCAAAAAACCCCAAAAAAACTGCTTAAGCAGCTTTTTTGTGGCCAGTTCAAGCTTCACAAGCAGGATTTTCGGGGTTTTGACATTGTTTTCAGACATTTCTTCACAGTGGTTGATGCGTTTAGTGATATACAGCCTGGTGGAAAAGTTTTCCCCCCATTTTTTTTTTTCCCTTTTTGCTTTACGTTAAAAGGTTTCAGATCCTCAGCCAAGAAAGATGCAAAAAATGATTTCATACCAAACCATCCCAGCCTTCACTAAAATGGTAATATATTTATATTGTTAAGCTGTTTCCCTTTTCAAATAAAGCTCTCACATTAAACTTTTTTCTATATTAAGTCAGCTTACCTTTATTTGTTCGATTTCATCTGATCTGTGACAGAAAGGAAAAAAAGTTGTTTATTTAAAAAGTGCAAATACTTTTTCATTGTACTGTTTTCTTACCCATGAAGACCTTCGTGTTCGACGTTGCAACAGAAGGATAAACTCTCAAAGATGGTTTTAACGACACTGCAGAGCTCTGACGTCGTGGCTTTAGACAGTCTGGTTTATCATCTTGGTTTACATAACATTAATTTTCTTTCCAGAGGAGGAAACAATACCTAATATTGATATGCCAGAAGAGCGGTCTGTAGAAAAACATTACTTTGCAGACTTTGATAGATTAAATCCCCTTTGTTAATAGTTAATGAATAAATGTTTGAAGTACTTCTTTTTCAAGCTCATAATATTCTCTGTCCAAAACTCACAGTACGAGGTTTAGAGGTTAGTGGTGATTTATTAACTAATGATGTGAAAGTCAGCCTGAAATCTCTGTGCTGCTTAGGAGGATTAGGCTCCAGTCAGGCCTTTATTGTCACAGCCGTAATACTACAATGAAAAACCAGCTTTAGCCATGAGTAATCATGGCCAGGATACGTCAGTCGGTGTTTAACTGGAAATGTTCTCCAATAACAGGTTAAAGCCAGACATCTAAAAAAATCATCAAACTTTTTGCCCCTCAGGAGGCCTGTCTGCAGGGTAACCTGATCGCCAACTGTCTGGAGCAGCTCTCTGACCCACACCCGTTGCTCCGGCAGTGGGTGGCGATCTGCCTGGGCCGGATCTGGCAGAACTTTGAACCGGCGCGGTGGTGTGGAGTCCGAGACAGCGCTCATGAGAAGCTATACACCCTGCTGTCCGATCCCATCCCCGAGGTAAGGACTAACATTAAAAAACATGTGAATGTATATATCCATGGGAAACGTGCAGCACATAGGGTTTCATTATGTAGATTTTACACGTCTAAAGAGGCAATCTAGAAAAAATAAATCTAGAAATTAGTTGGGGAAAAAAAGCCTTAACAAACTAAACTGCATCATGATTTATTTTGCTGCCAGTCTCAAATCTCCAAATAAAGCTTAACAAAAAAGTAATTTACTACATCTTTCACATGAAGCTGTATGCAAAACATCCTAGATATAAACTTTGTGGTCTCAGGAGACATTTTAAAGAACTCCTCTGTGAGTTACAGAGATATTGCCAAACCAGGCTGAGAGTGATGGATGGATGAGAAACAAATGGCTCATGCCTTCAAGGCCTTATTTTGTATATTCAGCTTTGCCTTTTAAACAGTTTCCAATAGCTTGAAAAGTAATGAATTGTTAGAAGGGTTGCTGGAGGAAAGATTTGAAGATTATGGCAGCAGATTTGCAAAAAAGCAAAACATATTGATGAATGTTTTTTTGACACAAAAATAAATTGGGGATGATTGATGGCAGTTGGCTGTGGAGGATTTGGACGTGTAAGTGCTGTACTTTATTTTGGTTAAGGTGATCACAATAAAATAACTCATTAATTAATTGTTTGATCAGGGTTTTTGCGGGTCATTTAAAGTCATTAAATTGTTTTTTTTTTTTATTAACGTTTTAATTGGCATTACAATTCATTAAATGTGTTTATTGTGGCATTTAAAATGCTTTCTTAAAAAATTTTTTTATTAAAACAATTTCGTCAGACATATATTACAATATATTTGCGTGGAACTGCTTCCTGTTGATCGCAAAGACATGTTTGAAAAACAAGCTTGAGTCAGAGAAAAAGCTAGAGAAGGGGGAAGAATGCCAATTTCAACAAAAGTGGTTGAAAAACGAGGAATTGGCTGCAGCCTGTCGACGGGTACCTGTTGGAGGCATTAAAATTATTTCTAGGAGCATTAAAAAGCATTCAATTAGAGTTATTCATTCCTGTATAAACCCTGTTGATTGATTGATGTGATCTTACAGTGGAGAAATTTACTTGTTTGTTTTTTTTTTTACAGTAGGATTATTAAAAAGGGTTAAACTGTGCAATTATTTAATAAACAAGCTCATCCTAAACACCAAGCCATGATGATCAGGATAACCTCTGGAGGATCTGCAGAGATCAACGGCTCGATGGGAAGAGTCTTTTGAGAATAAAGCACCTTTTTGTCTTGCAATCCACAAATCTGGTTCTTATAGAGGAGTAACAACTAATGTTGAAAAGATCCATTAAAATTTATTTGTGCAGTTCATATGACCTGGGTGACTAATAATCTTAACCAGCTTATTTGTGCATTTTGGCTGCACTCTTGGAAGGGGATAACAAACATGTAGGATGATGTCCTCAGATCAGACAAAAGGGAAACATTTTAGTTCTGAGAGCGGCACAAAGCTAATACTGCATATTGACCCATGGTGGTGACAGTAGGATCCTGTGGGAATGCTTTGAGTCTCGGTTGAAAGTTAATCTTTTATTGCAACAAAAATAAAGAAAGCAGTAGCTAAATACTGACTGAGTAGGACAGGGGTCGGAAACCCAACCTGATAGAGCCATATTTGACCAAAATAAATTGAAGAAATGGAAGAAAGTTCACATACCTGCATAAAATGGCTACCTGTTGGATCCGTGGATGGTTTTCCATGCTTGCAACAAAACTAGCAGCACTAGTGGAGTTTGGAGATGCAGTCCACTTCTTACGTCTATCTTTGCTCTCCTGTAATTTATCCAGACGTTCTGCATACTAACAGCCACCTGCCTGGCACCGCGTACTTGTACAGCATTGGGAAACAATGAATGTATGTTTATCCGCCTGCACACCGTATTAAAAGAAACAAAAAAAACTTTTTCTATTTTCATACATTTTTGAAAAAGCTCCAGGGAGCCACAAGGGGGGCATTAAAGAGCTGCATGCGGCTCTGGAGCCACGGGTTGCCGACCCCTGGTTTAAGAAGATCCTGTTAAATAGTAAAATGTATTGAAAAACATAAAGTATTTTGATCAGAATATCAGCAATAATTGCTTTGTAGTAAGTTTCCACATGGAGCTATGTGAGGGGGAGAATACAAACACACATTGCCAGATTTTTAGAAAAATATTAATTCCGCTCTCCAGTGGAAATTAATATTTTATTAAGTACTACCTTTGTCATAAAAGGTTAAAGATAATGTTTGTAATGTGACAAAATGTATGTTTTAAAAGGCAGGAATGCTATCAGCAGCTGCTGTTTTTTCTGTATGATTTAAAGTTTTAATAACGGTTGTTCTGTTAAATATAAAGGCACCTTAAAACTTTATGTGTAAAACCAGATATTTAAATCTTTTAAATTCTCATTTAAGGCTGCATTTGTTTTAGTTTGAGGTCCTCTATTAACATCATTATTTTCTTCTGTACTCGAAGCTTTCATATGAAAGATGGACCAGCTCCAGTCTTATTAACAAAGATTTGGTAAAGAGCTGTTTTCGTGCTCTCAAACTCAATAAAAAGTTAAGACAGTAGTTGTTGTTGCCACGTTTATCACAGAATTAGATGCCATCTTCCTACAGCTGCTGCTCTTTCCAGCTCTTGTTCTTTCTCTCTCTTTCCCAACTACTCCTACATTCCTCCTAAGAAAGTCTGGGTTGGATCATCAGCATCCACAGGCTTCTCCTTTCTTTTGACAAGTGTTTTATGACTAAAGCTGGAGCTGTGTGGGAGCTTCACTGGGTGTAGATTTCACAGATGAAGGAAGGAAAGAAAGAAGGGAGGAGAGAAGCCGGCTATTTCTGTGCCCGCTCAGCAGTTCCAGGTTTTTCAGAGGCTTCGCTTTTGTGAACCTCGGCTGACTGAGATGCGTTCAGAAGTGGGGGTCACAATACTGGAGTCTTTATAAAAACTTTAGTCATCGTGGCATCGATGTAATGGAGGTCTAAAAACTTTCTAGCTTATATATATGTGCACATATATATGTATGAATTGCTGGTTTTGTGTTGATCTTTATTTCTGTATTTCCCTTCCCTTTCCCTTTTTTTATTTTTATCAAATATCCTGAATATGGGCTGCTCAGTGGCGCAGTGGGTAACACTGCTGCCTTACAGCAAGAAGGTTTTAGGTTCGATTCCCAGCCCGGGGTCTTTTTGCATGGAGTTAGCATGTTCTCCCTGAGCTACGTGGGTTCTCTCCGGGTACTCCGGCTTCCTACCACCGTCCAAAAACATGACTGTTAGGTTAATTGGCTTCTCTAAATTCTCCTTAGGTTTTTAGTGACACCTTTTTTTAAAGGTGTCACTAAAAACAAGTCTTAAAGCTACAGTGTGTAATAATTACAGGCATATACAGTCAGAAATTTAATATATTATACATAACTATGTTATTTATCATCACCTATGAGCCCAGCCTCTTAACCATAATATTTGCGTTGCCTTAGAATTCGTTATTTATAATTACATAGGAGCGGGTCTCGCAGCCATGGAGGCTGACATCTTTGCGCTACGGCAAGCGCAGAGGCAACAAACTAGCGATTGCGAGATCTCCCATTACGCTCGAAAATAACTACGGCAAGTTGAGAGAGATGAACTGAGACGGTTCTGAACAGTAGATGGCAGTATTATGCCTGAGAAGCGTTTAGTCTGCCTGAAACCAAAGAAGAAGAAGAAGCAGGTATACTGCGCTTCATGACGTCTTAGTGTATTACCAACAGTAACCATGGAAATAGCGGTCCCAGCTTTTTTCAGGTCATTGACCAGCTCCTCCCATGTATTTCTGGGCGGATTTCTCCCCTTTCTTAGGATCATTGAGACCCCACGAGGTGAGATCTTGCACAGAGCTGGAGTTCAAGGGAGATTGACAGTCATGTTTAGCGTCTCCATGTTCTAATAATTTTCCCAACAGCTGACATTTTTTCAACAAGCTGCTTGGCAATTTCCCCGTAGCTCTTTCCAGCCTCGTGGAGGTGTACAATTTTGTCTCTAGTGTCTTTGGACAGCTCTTTGTTCTTGACCATGTTAGTAGTTGGATTCTTAGTGATTGTATGGGGTGGACAGGCTTCTTTATGCAGCTAACGACATCAAACAGGTGCATCTATAATTAATGGAGGGGAGGTGGACATTTTGAAGCAGGTCTTTGAGGGCTGATAGACAGGTGTTCAAATACTTATTTGCAGCCTTATCACCCAAATAAACAGTCTTTTTAGATTATGTCTCATATAGTGGACATGCACCTATGATTAACGTATGATTTCTAATTGGGAGAGCTTGCAAAAAAGCAGGGTGTTCAAATACCTTTTTTCCTCAGTGTATTTTATTTGGACTTCTGTCCGCTTTATATGGTCACATCAATGGCATCTCCACTTTGGAACCAAACACCAGTAGACCCAAACGTTTTTTAGCAGAAATTCTCAATATTTTTCACCCGTGGTTTAAGGATGTCATTAAGAAATAAAACTTTACTCTCTTATGATGGACGTGTGGCTTTTTTGAAGCCTCTTCACAGTCTGACAGGAAAAATAAAGACCTACACAGATTTACAGCTTTCTGTAACCTAATTGGTTTTAAATACAGTTTGAAGAAATATGACCAGGCAGACATTCGCAGTTTCACAGTTTCAAGTTTCCAGCAGTGTACATGAGCGGCGCAGACTTTCAGGCGTGCAACAGATTTCTGAAAAAACAAATCAAATCTTAACCTTCAACCTTAAATTCATTATGTTTCGACAAAAGGATTTTCAGCCTTGCTTTCTCTTCTACCTTCATTCTTGTTGCAAAAGACTGAAAAGAAATAATAACATTTCTGTTCCTTGGTTAGATCAACTCAGGGTCAAAGAGCATTGAGTGGAAAAGTGCTTTCTTTTCCTTTTCTAATGAGTTCTGACTTTTATGACTTTATGACAGATGACAAAAAGTTGAGACAGCTAACAAATAACACGTTTATTTTACTTGGTGGTGTTGTGGAGGCCATGGATTGAAGTATATATATATATATATATATATATATATATATATATATATATATATATATATATATATATATATATATATATATATATATATATATATATATATATATATATATATATATATATATATATATATATATATATATATGTTTGTGTATCTATAACAAAAGTAATTTCCCTCTAGGATTATTAAAGTATATCTGAGTCTGAGTTAGTTTGGATGCTCTTTTGTCTTCAGAAAAGGCATAACAGAGGGGAGTGGCGGTTTAGTGATTGGGGCATAGAGCTTGGAATCCTGAGGTTCTGGGTCAGAGCCCAACTCCTGCAGACTGCCACTCTGGGTCTCTTAACCTCCGGTTGCCCTACGATGGCAGCCCAATGCTTCCCAAGGGGATTGCAGAGTTAAATTTCACAAATCTGAGATAAATAAAATTCAATTATTATTAATACTTCCTGGTTTCCTTCAACAATATGTCAGAAACGTTCCTCCATCCTGTTCTTATAGCTGACAGTAGTAGCACTTGGAGGGATCTTCCATTGATGTTCTTCTGCTTGTCTTGGTTTAAAAAAAACTAAAACTCCTTTTAACAGCCACCACCTGGATATTGTCTATTTTCTGACCACTCTATTTGCCGCCTTTGGTAATTAAGGTGCACTGATGATTTAATTGAATAGATCATATTTAAGGAGCCAGGAGGGGACCACGGATATCTCGCTCAGAGCATGCTACTACAATAAATTGATTTCTGTTGGAAAGACTTTCTCAAAATTTAGATTGAACAGCATTTTTTTTCCCTCTCTTAAGCAGAGATTTAGGAGAAGTTTAAAAGGCTGTACTTTCTTCCAACGTTTGGGTGATGCACCTTGAAGAACAGAGAGATATTAAATGGGTTGCTTGGGAGTTGTTGCAGTAACTTCAACATAAAGTTGAATATTGCAGATACTCCAGGTAATTAGTCAGATTGGTTTCAGGTTTAAAGGCAAATCGAGGTTTTAAAACAGTTCAGATTTAAAAATGCTAAAGATTTCCTTATATGGTTCTTTCATATTTAGGCTCTTTAAATAAGATGACAGGAAAATGCCAAAGTGGCCTTCTTTCGGCTACTGAACCTTTCTTAAGCAGAATCACACAATCCCCTTTAGTTGCTGCAAGCTGCCTGTTAGCTGACTGAAAGAAGACTCCTGCATTTACCAGAAAGAAGGTTTTATTCATTTATTTATTTATGTTCCCAACTTTTATTGTCATTACTCTGTCACAAGTACAGAGCAACGAAAATAACTCTGCATTTAACCCATCCCCTTGGGGAGCAGTGGGCTGCCATTGTGCGGGGAGCAGTGTGGGGTTAAGGGTCTTTGCTCAGAGAGCTCGAGAGGCAGTCTGTGGAAGTGGGGCTCGAACTCAGAACCTCAGGATTCCAAGCTCTATGCCCTAACCATTAGGCCGCCACTCCCCAGTTTTAGTTGCTTAGAAAGGGTTCTGATTGGGAAAAACTAAACGGTAGTAGTAGTGATGTAGAACCTTTTAGGTGGGCACTAAAATAAAGGTAGGAATGTATAATGGGGGATACGTAACATTTATTAAGTACTGGTTCATCTACCTTAGTTCAAATTTCATTCTTGATTTTAAAAGACTGGAAAATAATTTAGATTTTAATTGACTCAGCGGTTCTTGTATTTCTGGAGATGGAAAGAGACATTAATAAGTTTATCAAAGAATTTTTAAGAATGTTTAACCAGTAAAGGAGGAATGTTTTTTTAGTGTTTATATTCAAGGTATCACAACTGGCACCATTCATTGTTTTTTAGTTTGAACCAAGCAGCCTGGCTGCAGCTGCTTCTGGCTGCAGTTTATTTACGATTCATTCAACTTTTTCATAGTTTCTGTTGGCAAGCTGTGATTTTAAACCATATCTGCTTTAAAATAATCTGATTAGAATGCTGTATTGTTTGGTTTTGCTTTATTCACATTTTGGAGCAGCTCAGAGCATGAGGACACAATATATGTCAATTACCTTGATATTAGCTCAAACAACCTCATGAAATGGACCAGGTAGAGAAAAATGTTTCAGGAAATTGAGAAAAAGATGAACAAAAAAGACGTGAGGTTAAAGCAAACCTTAAGCCTATAGTTTTGCTTTTTTTCCTTCTTAGTATTGTCATACAGTAATCTCCAGCTAAATTTGTGTGGCTATCTTTCAAAGGTTAACAAGGTAATGTTTAGAGAATAGGCTTGTTTTACTACTCCATCTTAAAAGTTTTGCCTTGTGTTTTCAGACTAAAACCATTTTTACTTTTTTAGTTAATTCATTGATTTAGACAAGCTATTCTGTTTCCTCCAAATGTGTTTGTTCTTTTAAAATATTCATGATGAACATTTTATCTGCGGTAAAACTAACAACGTTAAAGTAACATCTGTGTTAAATTTCTCACTTGGAATTAAAAAGAGGTGGCAGAGCCTCCCCATGACTCTAAAAAACAAAATGTTTGTCGTTGCCACCATTCAGAATAATATTCATTCTTGGGCTGTAATTTGGTTTGGTTTATGACACGGGTCCCTAATGGAGAATTCTCTCTGGGCGATGCCGGGTTTAGATTAAACATCCATTGAAGTGGAAAGAGGGAGAAATGAGATACAGTGCCGATGATCAGTTAATATTAGGCTCGCATCTCTCATAATCTTTGCATTTTCTATTGATGCTGGAAGACAAACTAGTGTTTAATTACTTCTAAAAAGTTTTAATCAAACCTCTCACTTGGCATTCTCTCATGTTTTTATTATTTTTGTGGCCCCAGTTGAGAATTTGGAGAATTCTGCTTATGGTTTCCCATGTTTATTTGATTGCAGGTAAGATGCGCGGCTGTGTTTGCTCTGGGAACGTTTGTAGGGAACTCTGCAGAGAGGACGGATCACTCCACCACCATCGACCACAATGTGGCCATGATGCTGGCTCAGCTGATCAACGATGGCAGCCCTGTGGTCCGCAAGGTCTCTTTCACACAATCGTACTTCACAAACAAAATACAGGTTTCATACCAGCAAGCATTTAAGGCAGAAGTCCAGGCTTTTTTTGTTTTTCTTTTAAATATCCTGCTGCAGCAAACACAGTTAAAGCCGCATAAGCTCTTTAAACCTTCCAACAGTGTTGATGCCCTTTATTCTATCACATCTGGGAATAAATAATGATGTCTTTATTACTGTTGCTGTAATGCTCCTCCTCATTTGCTTGTTTGAAGAACACCATGATGGTGGCTCATTTTAGGGTGCTACTATCCCTCTGTTACGCTGTTTTATATTTCATATCTTGGTTCCGCTTTTTTTAAAACCACCCTAAAATCTGTAGAAGTGTCAGACCAAATGAATATTGATAAACAGCATATGGAGGTTCAGGCCTTTGGTTGTTTCCAGTGTGCCCCACTATGAGGTACAGAAGCCTAAGAATCAAGCTCAGAGTAATAAGCCATTTCACACAGATGAATGATTTTGACGAATATTGTATTTTCCAGGCTATAAAGGGCCCAAATGTCAAAAAATGCCTGTAGAATGAATACCCAAATTAAATCTGGCCTCTCTCTAAGGATAACACTTTGAATAGTTTTAATCTGAACTGTCAAACTAATTTAACTGTCATGTTTGTAGTTTTTTAATTTGGAACACATGAATTGTAATTGACTTCCCTCATAGTGTTTTAGTCTGTTTTATTATCTAACTGTACATGCAGGGCGGATGGTATGGATGTTTTCTTGCTGTTTTCCAGGAGCTGGTAGTAGCTCTGAGTCACTTGGTGGTCCAGTATGAGAGCAACTTCTGCACAGTTGCCCTGCAGTTCATAGAAGAAGAGAAGAATTATGCTGTACCATCACCAGCTAACACCTCAGGTATGGGGCGTTTTAAAAGTGCAGATCCTTTTTGAAAACATGCCAAATCAAACCCGTGATCTGACTGCTTTTTGTCGCATGGAGCATTTAGGATCCAGTTCATGCAAAGGAAAATCTTTTTTTTTATGCAACAATGGTTAATTATTTTTATATTTGGAATTCTGTGAGGATAATTCCAGTTCCACCAAGACTAATAATTTTGGTGACGTTCAGACCTGGAGGCTGAGAACGCTTTGCAAATCTGTCCCCCATTTATCCGTCACAGGTTTTAGATTAAATTTAAGGAGGAGTTCAAAGGATCTAAGGCTGGAGTTAAGCTTCTCTGCACAGGCAGGTGTGTAATGTGTTTCAGGGGTAAGTTTCTGTGGAAAATTAAGTAGCTTTTTTGGCTCTTAATTCACTTCTACATCCTTAACCTAACAAAAAAGGGGAGTAAATCAAAAGGTTGCACTTCTGTGGCACTGACACATTTCTGGGTGCTGAAATTAAAGAAATAATTCTTCTTTTTTTTCCTGAGTAAAATAATTTTTCAAAATTTTCACGATTGTCTCCAAATCAAGCAGAGGGTTTTGTCTTTAAGGTTAGATCAGTATATCTGTTGACTATTTTTTTTTTTTTTTTTTTTCCAACGATCAGAACCAGGCAACATGACTCCAGTAAGGGACAGCCCGGCCATCCCTCGTCTTCGGTCCGTTAATTCCTACACCAACATCCGAGCAGTAACCACCGCTCGCAACCTGAACAAAAGCCTCCAGAACCTGAATCTCAACGAAGAAGGTATGACGGAGACAGATGGATGCTCAGACCTTGATTAAGATTCAGCTTCATTGAGGAGGAACAAATTGGCTAAAGCGTATTTGATAAGATTAATTTCTAATGTTTTGGAGTCCCCTCTTTAATTTATCAGCCACCTTTATGCAGCAATGACTTAGAGGGACCCTAATATAGCTATATCTGCAGTCCAAAGCTTCAATCTGTCCCAGTCAGTTCCCTGTATCCAAAAGGTGCAGAGAAATTGACACCTGTAGTTAAATTACCCCTGAAAATGGATTGTTGTCGTTTAAATTCAGATTTTAACATATTAATTGCTCCAGTACCTTCCTTCCCATAACCTCTCCACCCTCCAAATTATCTATAATTGCTAATGTTCAGAATTTACTGCATTTACATTGGTTTGATTCTTAGTTTTCCATGATGCTTTTCCATTCGTTTCATTATTGTTTTCTATATGTGATTTCTTGATTAAGTTCAGCTGGTTTCATTCACCTCTATCATAGATATATTTATATTTTACATGGTTCCTGGGTTTGAGGGAAATATTTTACATTCTCCTTCATGACTGTTATTAACAACCCTCTATAAAATTTGATTTGATAAATAAAGCAATAAGAAAACAGCTCCAGCTTCATGTGCTGATTCTGATTGTTGTAAAGTACTGTGAGCTGTCCATGGTGCTGAAGGGCAAAAAAACATTTCTCTAAGTTGTTAAGTTATTTTTTTGTTTGTTTTGTTGTTATTTTTTCTTTGCTGCAGATGTATTCATCCAAAATTAAACATTTTGTTCTCAATGTTTAGATTTAATCAATTGTTGGATTATATTAGAAAACTAACAATTTTTTTCAGTTTAAGAAATATATCTTTTAGTCATGTAGTATTTTGTATCAGTTTTGATTTTTGAAGGTGAGCATTGACACTGGATTGAGTATCCATTCAAAATGCAACAAGTTTGAAACCAACTGAAATATTTAGCTGAAGTTCTGTGTTTGCTTCTCTCTGCTTCTGAACAAGCGTTAAAAGAGCCAACATCTCCTGCTTAAGGCCTCCAGGCCACTTTCGACCCACAATATATTATTGTTTATCCCACTGCATGCAGCTATCATGTCTTCCATAATTCATTGCTGCACAACGAGTTAACATAGATCTTTGATTGAACTTATAGACAGGAAATTATGAATATAGTTTGTAGCCCATTTGCTTTTGACATGAAACCAAGATGGAGTTTTTACAACTTCAGGTCTACAGCCCCCGTTTTTCTTTTTTACTTTTTTTTTTGTTAGGAACAGTTTAGGTGTCCTATTGAAAGAAACACTCTCCTGATATTAGTCTTATGAATAAACATGTGACATGTAGTTCTGTTTTGACAGCTTATGTTCATGGTTGAATTTAATGTTCATAAAGACAAAAGTATAATTAAAGATATTCAGTGCAGTTTGTTGTCCTGTTGTTAACATTTATTACATAACATACTATCTATGAAGTGTAACTATAGAACAACAATATTATATAGGTGGCACCCATCTTCAATATCATGCTCTCTTATATTTGCTTTTCTTTTTTTCCATTCAAAAAGATAGAAACGGATTGTAAATAAAGAACAAATTGCCATAGTTGTATAAGAGGTATTTATCAGTCATATTTATCATCAACCCATGTTGTGGTTCTTGAATTAATTCACGGGTCTCTTTTAGAAATAATGATGCCCAAAAGAAACTATTAATTTCTCAAAGTAAGGTGACCTTTTACAATAAGCAGGAAAAAATGTTTCCTTATTGCACTTTTTCTATCTGGACTGTCTGCAACACTGCTTTGCTGACCCTGATCCCTCTGTTCTTTACCCTAATGTAATACATCAACAGTTAACGTCTAGATTTAACTATTAATATTAATTTTCTATTTTTTCTAACCTTTTCCTATCAATAATTCAGTTATATGTAGATATCTAAAAGCCTGCTTAAGTTGTATTTTGGCAGACTGAAAAGGTTGAAATATTTTGTTTCTTAAAATAGGTTCTGAATAAAGACAAATAATCTCAATCCCAGCCAGCTGTAGAAATGTCAGTCTAACATTTCCTCCCACAGCTTTTCAAGCACCCAGCAGCCTGCTGTCACTCCCAGCCCTCTGTGTTTCTGTCACCTCCCTGTGATTCAGGCGTCCAAAGCCAAGCACGCTCCCCTCCAATCCAGCGCTGCCAGACTGAGTAATGCCATGAGCTCTGTGCAGCGCTAAATCACCAGCGCTCGGTGAAGTGCCTAACCTACTGCTGACACCATTTCTAGTTCACATTCTCTGTGCTTGCTCCAATATGCAGGAGTGTTTATCATCAATGAGCTTAGAGCAGAGCGGCTCTTTATTCTCAACCAATCTCCATTCTCACATTTCAGCCTGTGGTTTGTTAGAAGGATACATGGCATTTGAGCCTGTATGAGTCAGAGTAATGTTTGGTGGAACTATGAGTTACAGCAGCTGATGACTCGACCTGAATGTTTAAATTAAGTTATGAGAGCCTAGCCTCAAGGTGCAACCACATTTGCTTACACATCTGAAGGTTATATGGCAGTTTATTTTTATTTGATAATTTATCCTTCAATAATTGAAGTAATAAATACCAAGGTTTTCCATTTATGTTAACTCTGTTTGAAATCCTCTTGTCTTTCCTCTTCAGGTGGCCCAGCAGCCCTCTCTCCTGGTAACCTGAGTACCAGTAGCAGCGCCAGCAGCACACTGGGAAGTCCTGACAACGATGAGTACATCCTCTCTTTTGAAACCATTGACAAGATGCGACGGGTTTCTTCGTATTCCTCCCTAAACTCCCTCATAGGTAACAACCACCTTACAGTTTTAAGGCTCCAGAGCTACAGTTCAAATTCATGCGTAACATTGTGTAAGAGGTTACATAACAGGGGCTCTGAAGAGGCTCCGTGTAGTTCAGGTAGATTGCAGCTTACAAAGAAACAAGGTTAGAAGGAAGGCTTTCTGAAGAGATAATACAGATAAAACCGGAGCTTCAAGGTGAGCGTCCCTTAAAGAAGCTTTCATATTTTCTGCTTCCAGTTTTATGTCGTTTTTTACACACCTTTACTCTCTCCCTTGATTAAGTCTTGAAAGTTTCCTTTCTTTAGATCATTTCTCACATTTTATCCCTTTTTACCTTTACTTTTCCTTTCTTTGCTTATTTTTTAGGAGTCACAGCTGTTTTCTGTGACTCAAACTCAGCTCATTTGGTGTGAAGCGAATGTTATTCCTAGTCTTTTCTTTTAGCTACAGGTGTCTGAAGTCTACATCTGGTTTTGCGCTACCCAGGAAATTTGAAAACTTTCCTTTTAAAAGAGGAAACAGGGTCTGACCCAGGGTATCATTCATAGAAGATCTGCCACAGTAGAAGAAATATTAAACGTCATGTGTAAAACATAATCTTCGCTTGTAAAGCACGTTTTGTGGCTTTCTGAATTACTTATATGTATAGATTCAATATTGCCTTTGACCTTAAAAGAATTAATGGTGTTTTTTTTAATAACTGGGACACCAAACCTTATGCTTCATTAGTAATGAATCTGCAGTGATTCAAACATGATCTAATGCCTTCATAAGAATCATTATGCTACATCTGCCCTGCTGCTGCATCTGTTATGCTGCAGTTTGGGCAGCAGCTCTCACTGGTGTTAACCTGGACGATAGCTAATCTGCAGACAGAAAATTAAAAACAATAAAGGATGAATGCACTTTGGAAGGATGGAGACCTTTGGGCCTCCCACAAGAGAATCACTGCTTCCAGATGTCGGTAAGAGTAAAAAAAAGAGCATCAGAGAGGAACATGCAGGACATTAAAGGTAAAGTTGAGGATGTTCTTTTTTCCAGGTGGATCATCAAAACAAGTGGTCTTCCTAATTGTCAATCAGTCTGGTTATATATTTATGTAAGCCCGTCCTATGTGCTCGTCCCCATTTTCACTTACCGGTGGTGAGTCTGATATAGTGGAAAAATTGCAACTCTTCTTTTGGAAAGTAAGCTTGCATGAGTGATGCAAACAGCAACTTTTAAACAGTGTGCACAAGGAGAAATGGGTTCATGCATGCTCTTGCACATGTTTAATAGCTATTTCCTCACAGGAGGGGGTACAGGGTTGTGCATGAGTATATTTGTTTTAAGTGGAGAGGGCGGGACTTTTCAAAAATTCGTGAAAATTCTCCACTATACCTTTAAGGTGCTTTTGGATCCATTTCCACTCTCTACTTCTGTCTGTTGTTTGGTGGGTTTTACCATCTGCTGAGGCAATACAGATATTTTAAGGGAAGCTTCAACTACTGAAATAACAGGGATATAAAACTGTCTTTAGTCAGTTTTCTTCCTAATTCGCTTTTGTCACTATGTACAACATTGCTGCCATAAACCGATTTGTAATTTTAACTTTAAAAGTTAAAACTGCCGCATTAATCTCAATTTCACTTACAAGCACGTTTCCTTCCAGTTCCAATCTAAAGTAATCCCTTTTTTTGTTTGTTTGTTTGGATGGCTTCATATATCAGATAATTTGATTTACTCTGTTCTGTTTTTACAGCTTTTAGCTAAATCTGCTCTGTAAATCTATTTAAAGTCATAGCAAAACTCTCCAAAAAATGTTCAGGTTCTTTTTTATTTCCTTCAGGAAGGTAATGAATCTACCAACCAAAGCTTGAAAATCTAACCTCAGTCTGTCATCTACTTCTGTGGAAACTGTTAGTTTATCCTCTGGGAAACATTTCACAAAAACATGAAAAGTTTGAAAATACATTTTTGATGAAAAAAAGACTGTGATTATGGTGCCACACCATTTCCTCTCCTTACAATTAAATTCCCCAAATCAAATATTTGTTGCTCATTTAAACCCTTTTCTGCTGCCATGAGGTCCCAGATAAAGCATGATGGAAGACATACTGGCCGTTCGCCCACTAAGCTCTGTGCCAGCTGCAGATGTAAACACTTCCTGCCTTCCTATGAGACAGTTTGAACCCCCACCTTGCATCGAGCTGCCTGAATACAGACTCAGCTCTTGTGTTGTGACCTGAAATCACATATCAGTTTATCAGAAGCATCACTTGTCTGTCTGATTTGTTTGTTCTTTTGTTTCTTTCTTGTTTGTTTTGAAGTTGTTCTCCTGAAACCCGCAGGGCTTCGTTCCTCCTCTCTCCTAAAAACTGAGCTAATTCATTTCCTCTTTTTGATCCCCATTTTGGCTTTATCAAATCTTTCTGAGCAAAAAAAAAAAAGTGTGTTATGATGCAGCCGCTTGGAGGAAATCGAAGTCATAAATGATGTTTGCAGCCTCGGCTTAAAATCGGGCTGCAGGAAAGCAGCAGGGCAGCAAAACTGTGTGGGAGGGCACAGTTGGCGTAAAGTGATTTATTAACTTCCCACTACTATCATTTGTACTAATCCTACCACACTGTGGAGACCACACTGCTGTTTTTATTAGGCACCATCGTGCTCAAAATTAGGCAAAGGCTCAGTTTTGTCCATTAACCTTAACGTAGGACGCAGTGCAAGAATATTGTAAATTCAGAGCTCCTATATGACAGGATAACTTCTGTTTCTCATCTCAGGGTTTTACAGATCTTGATAGGTTTGGAAAAGAGGAGTATAAAAAGGTTTACATCTCTGTCTCCTAAATGTTCTATCATCCATTGTTTCACCAATTGGCAGGTCATCTGTCTGTTTGCATATTATCCATCCATTCTTCCATCTAGCTGTGGTTTATCTGTCTGTAAATCCATCCTAGGTTTGTCCAGTCTTTCATCATTTCTGGCCACAGACCAGAAATACCAACCCTGGAATCAACCCTATAGATATTAAACAATCGGGGGGGTATTTTTCATTCCATCTAACCCTATTTTGATAAAGCATAAAACACATATATTGTCTCTGCTTAACATGCTGACACAAGTTACAGTTGTGCTGATTAAAATCTATATTTACTTAAGAGAGAATAGCTCAACTTGCAGTATAGTTTGTGTTTTCAATGTAATATAAACACTGCCTGGTCCAAAAAAAAAGGTCACTCACTCTAATACTTTGTTGGACCGCCTTTAGTTTTGATGACGGCATGCATTCGCTTTGGCATTGTTTCGATAAGCTTCTGCAATGTCAAAAGATTTATTTCCATCCAGTGTTGCATTAATTTTTCACCAAGATCTTGCATCGATGATGGTGAAGTCTGACCGCTGCGCTAAGCCCTCTCTAGCTCATCCCAAAGATTCTCAGTGGGGTTGAGGTCTGGGCTCTGTGGTGGCCAATCCATGTGTGAAAATGATGTGTCATGCTCCCTGAACCAGTCTTTCACAATTTGAGCCCGATGAATCCTGGCATTGCCATCTTGGAATATGCCTGTGCCATCAGGGAAGAAAAAGTCCATTGATGGAATAACCTGGTCATTCAGTATATTCAGGTAGTCAGTTGAGCTCATTCTTTGAGCACATACTGTTGCTGAACCTAGACCTGACCAACTGCAGCAACCCCAGATCATAACACCGCCCCCACAGGCTTGTACAGTAGGCACTAGGCATGGTGGGTGCATCACTTCACCTGCCTCTCTTCTTACCCTGATTCGCCCATCACTCTTGAACAGGGTAAATCTTGACTCATCAGACACCATGACCTTCCATTGCTCCACAGTCCAATCTTTATGCTCCCTAGCAAATTGAAGCCTTTTTTTCCAGTTAGCCTCACTGATTAGTGGTTTTCTTACGGCTACTCAGCTGTTCAGTCCCAATCCCTTGAGTTCCCTTCGCATTGTGCGTGTGGAAATGCTCTAACTTTCAGTATTAAACAAAGCCCTGAGTTCTACTGTTGTTTTTCTTCGATTTGATCTCACCACACGTTTAGGTGATCGCCGATCACGATCATTCAGGATTTTTTTCCGGCCACATATCTTCCTTGAAGATGATGGGTCCCCACTATCCTTCCAGTTTTTTATAATGCGTTGGACAGTTCTTAACCCAATTTTAGTAGTTTCTGCAATCTCTTTAGATGTTTTCTCTGCTTGATGCATGCCATTGATTTGACCCTTCTCAAACAGACTAACATCTTTTCTACGACCACGGGATGTGTCTTTCGACATGGTTGTTTAGGAAATGAGAAGCAAGTCATTGCACCAGTTGGGGTTAAATAACTTGTTGCCAGCTGAAAGATAATCGCCCATGCAGTAATTATCCAATGGGAGGCTCGTACCTATTTGCTTATTTGAAACCAGGTGGCGACTTTTTTTTGGCCAGGCAGTGTATTTTATCTGATTTGATTTAGAAGCATTTTGTAGTTAAAAAGCATAACTCACAGTGATAGAAAAACAAAGCTTTGACGCTAATCTACTAAAAACATGATTGTATTCCAGAGCATTGACTACAAAATTATTTGGCCTAGAAACAAAATGGCTGTATACTAGTGAAACACAGAGAATGCATGGTGTTTTGAACTTGTTCTCTAGTGAGAAAGAAGGGTTTGACTGACCTTTCAGTGTCATCATTGCCTTCAAATTCAATATATTACAAGTTTGCCGACATCCAGATATTGTTTTAGGTTGTGGAGAATCTAGGAGGATCATTCAGTGTTAATGTTATCATTTCATTAGGAGATGTTGAAATGTTCAGACACAGCAGGTTGCTTTAAATTGACTTTAAAATCACTGCATTCATTTGTCATGAAAGCCCAAAAGTCTTAAGAATAATCTATCTGGACTATAAAATATCACAAGAAACTCTGACTCTTTGGAGGAAAAAGGGTTATTTAAAAGCTCTAATAAAACGCATACCTACAGTTAAGAAAAAAAACTCACTCTTCTTAAATTTTTATTGTATAAAAATAATGTGTTCAAGGTTTGAAGTTATGTTAACATTATGATGATTATTGTTCTATCAGGTATTATTGTTTATTTCTTCATTACACCAGGATTTACATTCTGAAACATTTTAACTTTATTTTTCTTGACAAACCAGGGGTTTATATATGCATCTGTCTTGGTGCATTTGATATGCATTTGTTCTAAAATCGTCATACAACAGTTAGAATGTGATGCTTTTTGCATCCCCCTGTTAAATGAGCTGCGGCGATGATTTTATGCATTAAAAAACTTCCTAAGCTAATCTTTAATGTTGCACGTTTAGAGCTCCTTTGGTCCCTATGCTGTATTAACTGTAATTTGAGCCATTTGCCAGAAATTTGGAGGCAATAAAAAAAGGAGATGCAGTAGGTCATTTAGTCAGCAGTTAAAAATCTTTATGACTTCACATTTATTTCACTTTTGCTGAAATGACAAGAGCGACGGATCAGGACGAGGCACTGCTGCACTTTAATATTCACATTCATCACGACACATTCTGTCATGAGACTCTGTAGAGTTGGTGCAGTTTTAATTCGTGTGCTCTTGTAATGTAAAGCAGTTGTAATTCGCCCCCACTTTCTGTCTACTGCAGCAGCTGCTTCTACGGCTAGCTTTCGCTAATAACATTCTGTCCTTAGGCTATGGCCTAATCACCGCTTTAGCTTCCTCTCCCGCTTTCTCCAAGTTGTTTTTTTTACTTTCTCTATTCTTTGCTTTTATCAGAGCGTACTAGATTCTGAAATAAGTCGTCCTCCTAAGTCCTCGTCTTTGTTTCTCCCACCAACACACCTTCCGGCCTTCCTGGCATTGGCTCTCTTCTTGTTTCATACGCTTCAGGTTTATCTGGCAGTTTTAACCCTCTTCCTTTCTCCTTTTCCAATTATTCCTCTCTGGTGTGTTCCCTTTGAGGCGTGGGACTAGTCCTCTCTATAGATGGGTCTCAGTAACAGTGGAGGTCAGACTTCAGTCATTCAAGGTGTTCTGCATTTACATATATATAAATACCAGAAACACAAGGACAGAAACATCTTTAAGGGAGGAAATATTAAATAAATACACCAATTGAGTTAAAAAAATCTCATCAAGCTAGTAAAGAAGGCTAGCTGTTCTGAGAACTCCTCTACCACCTTTGGGGATGATTTAACAAAACAAAGCCTTCCTTAAATTAATAATGTTTTGGACAACCCTCAGCATTCTTCACATCATACTATTTTACAGCAACAGATTGTTTGCAGTAAGAGGCTTTTCCAGACCCATTGTGAGACAGAATCCTACATCATTAGCATTTGCAACTCATATTAGAGTTGAAACACCATTTAATTACCCTTTTGGATCAATAAAGTATTTTTTCATTTAATTAAATTAGAAATACGACATATTAGGGGACATCTTAAGCTACCAAGAGGCTTCAGGATAGGACAAAAAGATAGGATTAGGAAATAAATTAGCTTAAGTATGGTTAAGTCTCCCTTAAAAAGCAAGTTTCTAAGTCAATTAGGTGGTCAAGACATCAAAAAAGAAACTAGATAGATGATAAACCTGCTTTATCTTGTAAAATCTCGGATGGAAAGGCATCCATTTTCTATGGTAAAAAAATATAAACGAGGTTGATATAGCCACCTAAAGACACTTTTCCTATTGACCTATTTAAAAGCAGGCTAAGCATTTTATGTTTTAATTCAGTTAGGATTACCAAAATATCTGTTAAAAAATACAAGAACAGTGATTTTCTTTTTCTTATATTTAAATTTAAAACTTTCCTTAGTATTTAGTAAAACTGCTCTCTAATTTTTATAACCTAAGTGAAAATTTTGCATACTTCCTTAGTGGTTTACTGTAAATTTGTCCCTCTCCTCCTGTCAGACCTACCGTAACTCAGTCATGTTTGAAGGTTGGTTTTCCCTTGCACGCCTTTTCAGCTCTGCACTCAACCAGACCTTTCCAATGGGCTGTGATCAGGACTTTTTGAGTGACATGTCAAAACATTAACCTTGTTTTCCTTAAGCTGTGTAAGCAAGTAATCATGGCGCCTCGGGTTACTGTTCATTTGGGAGACCCATGTATGCCCGAGCCTTAAACTCCAAGGCTGAATCCTTCAGATGTTGCCTTAATTTTTCTTCATTATGTTCATAATGCTAAACCAAGCTCTGTTTTATCCAGATTAAAAACCCATTTGTTTACAGATACTTTTTACTGTTCTATATGGATTAATAATTAAAACCTTGTTTATTTCACTCTGTGTTAAAACTTTCCTTTACAATGCTGCTGTGATGTAAATTTTTGCTTTTTTTATTTCTTTACCATGTAAAGCACTTTGAATAAACTTGTTATTGTAAATTAGGCCCATGCATATACTTGCTATGCCTTTCCTCTTGATCCAATCTATTTTTATAAGTGCACCAGTCAGTAAAATACCCAAACATCATGATGATGCTACTACGACTGGACTTCACAGTAGGGGAAGTGTTTACAGGCTTGCAAGCTTTCCTCTATTCTTTCCCGCTATAACAATGGCCATTATAACCAACACTTTAGAATTTGGGAAGCAAGTTATCATTTAGGTTATTTAATGTTGACTGATCTGATTTATCCACTAATGACTGATAAGTGACCATTTTCATTAAAACCTTAATTTTCTCTTGTATCAAGAAGATCTTTCTATAAAAGGAAGGGCTTTTTTACAATATGCTGAATTTAAAAACTAGGGCATCATTATGCTTTCAAATGTATTGTACTGTAATAAATGGTGACTAAATAAACAAAAACATGTTTTCTTAAACATTTAAGCTTATTTATATGATATAACTAAAGAGGAACGTATTACATTATGGAATAAAAACAAAATCTAAATAAAATACACATGAAACACATACAATAAAACACATGATTTCCAATAAGCAGAGATTTAAAACTGTCATTAAAAGACCGGGTATGTTGCTCTAACATGCTGTTATACTATTTAACACCTCAACAAAGTGGATGCTAACTGCTAACTATGTTTTTATGTAATCCAAGGCTTTGTGGTGTCAGCAGTACTTTTAAATGGGTGGTTATGGTTAAAATGTGGCCCCATAAAGTGCATTAACTAGTAAAAGTCTCCTTATCTACTGTTTTAAATTTAAGGATATAGTTTTCTATAAGGTTAAAATGTTTTTAGTAGTGCCATCCACTTTTCTATCACCACATCCTACCCTTCCAAGCACTGTAGAGGAAGGAAAGCTCCACCATGCAGCTCGGCTAAATGGGAGCTATTTAGGTTATAACGGGAAGATTTCTGTGAAGACCCCCGCTTTCCACTTTAAAAAAAAAAAAAAAAAACGCAAATGCACAACCCTGTAGCCTCTCCCAAGAGGGAACGACCATTAAATGCAACAATTAAATGTGTGTGAGAGCATGTAGGAGCCCATTTCTTTATTCTGGGGTTAATAGGCAAACTTCAAACCAAAACCTGTTTATCTTTGGAACAAATAAAACCCTCTCCTTACCGATTGGTATGATAGTAGGAAAAAATTGTATATCCTTTTTTTTATCAACTGAATTTCAGTTTTTAACTCCAAATATTCACCTGATGTGTGTATTTATCATTTCCATCAACGTCTGAACTTGGCTCCTTCTGTCTGTCCTTTTTCAGGTGTTTCCTACAACAGTGTTTACACTCAGATATGGAGAGTGCTGCTCCACCTAGCTGCAGATCCTTTCCCAGAGGTTTCAGATTTGGCCATGAAAGTCCTCAACAGCATCGCTTACAAGGTTTGTAGAGTGTAAATCTACTGATTATGTGATGATTGAATGTCTTTTCAATTGAAGACAATGTAATAGCTGATGAGTAACTCTTGTTTATGCTCAAGAATATCAGAATTCAGACATTTAAACTACATTTTATTGTAGTTCATAAAACATAAAAAATGAGTTGTGCAGCTATTTGCAGTGCACTTTACCTAATGTGTCTGTATGGAGTCTGGGTTTGTGTACTTACAGCTCAAAAGTTTACACACCCCTGTTAGAATGCCTCATTTGTGATATGAGATGATGAGATCACAGTAAACTAATATTTTTTTTCACTCAGACATCTGTTTCTGAAGCCCCCTGGACACCTTCCTTTGGGCAATGTTGATGACAAATTTGAGTAAAAAATAAATAGAAATTTAAAAAACTGTATTTTGGATAACAGTAAAGCCGCCAATGAAAGGTTGCATTAAATCTGTCATTGTCTAAAGGGAAAGCCGGTGCTCTGGGGTGGTACCTGGCTTCCACAGTCAAGATGTCTACCACTCGCATCAAAAGTAGTTAAACTTTCATACTTTGTTTGTAGCAGTTTTTTATTATATATGCAGCATTAAGTCAGTTGTTCAGGTACAACATCTGCGATCGTTAAGGTTGTAACAGTAAACAAAATGGCCGCTAAGAACACAAAGGTCTGCAAACTGAAACTGGAGTGCATTTACCTTTGAGATTACATCACTGCAACTCATTACATTTTAGTTCAGAAGACAAATGAAACCCACCAGTAACATCAACAGTCATCGACCAGTAGTACCTGAAGCAAGTGCTTCCAAAGGTTCCTGGGTTCACACTGATTGCTTAATTATTAGAATTAGGGGAATGCACTCACTGTTTTTACTGTTTGCATAACACAAACACTTTGATGCATATTTGGAACAATATGCATCATGGTGTTAAATTATAAAAGCAGTTGAAAAGGCTAGATGCAACAGTTGATGAGGAAGATTAGATTAGAGTTATCGCAACACAATCGCTCTATAAGAGATTCTTTTTTTTAGTCATTTTTAACATTTAGGCTAGCAGAAAAAATATAACTAGGCTCCCTTTTTTCTACAATCTCCACTCATGTCAAAGTACCCATTTTACCCCATTTTAGTTAAGAAGCTGTATGCAACATCTCAAATCCAAATTGATCCAGCAAAGATGAGGAAAGGAAGAACCAAACTAACTCTTTTTTTAGGGCCTTTTCTTCATCAGTGCAACTAAGCATGCCCCTGCTACTAAAACTAGTTAACTGTAGGTCATCTAAGTCAGTAAAAGCCTCCACATCAAAGGGTGTTATTGATACCATTCTCAGGTTAATGATAGGAAAAACAAATAGGATTCATTGTTTGTGTCCCTCCATCAGCAGCAAGGATTATTCAGGCTTAAAATAGTTTGGTTTAAGTTGTCAGCTGATTTTTTCTTATTTTTTTCTTCCTGCCTCAAAAATTGTTCTGGTCTAGTTTCATAATAAAACACATAATGCATCAGTTAGCTCTATAAGGGCCAACTTTATTTATTTTTTACCCCGGACAGGTAACTTTTAGAAGCATTAACAACAGAAATATCTCTAAGGGTTGTAAAAGTGTCTGCATCCTGCCACAATCGAGCACAGGTTGATTTATTTTCCTGCAGGAAGACCTGAGCAAAAAGCACTCAATCAAAGACTCTCCACTAAGGTTCACGAGTATTAACATCAGCTTAACAGGAAATCCAGCTCTTTTAATTAGGATTTTGAATGTCAGATGTTATTGATTTCTAACAAAGTAAACAAGGTCAGCAGCTAATTAAAATGTACTTGCTTTTTAAATAGAACTGAACATTATTGTCCCAACAGGGACATTTTGCTCTGTGACTGAACATATGACCCTGGCCATTTCCATTGACCTGTAAAAGAATAAACAAAACAAAACAAAAGGCAACTAAGACACAGAATCCCTTTGAAAATAGACTTAGAAAACGACAGAATAAACTGCAATACCCTCTGCAGCTCATGGCTTCTACACATCCCTATACGCCAGCATTACATCATTTATAAAGATACGATAAATAAATTATTTACTGATGGGTTTTAATGTATTTATGGGTTTCTTTTCTGTAAATGTTATGTAAATTGTAATTTGCCAGTCAAATTTACAGTAAGCCATATATATATATATACCGTATTTTCACGACCATAAGGCGCACCGGACTAAAAGGCGCAGTCTCAGTTATGTGTGCCATTTCTGTATTTAACACACACATAAGGCGCACCGGACTATAGGGCGCGTTTTTTATATACAGGTACATGTCCTCTCAGGTAGATTTTCTCACTTAAAAACATATTAAAACTACTTTATTCCCACTGATCACAGCAAATAAAGCTGCAAGGTGTATTTATTACAAAGTATTATTCAAACCTGGGAACCAGCCGTGAGAGACACATCGCTGATGACACAGGGCTGCGATTACTCCTCTGATACAGTTTATTGACGCATAAATTAACTTAAAACATAGGCAGGATAATAATCTGGATGAGCTGACTGCAATGATTAAATTTTCAGGTGGACTTTCTCACTCAAAAAGATTTAGATTATTTAGATGAAAAAACACCTGCGGAGGTGAGCCCTGATGCGCTGCGGCCCAGAGGCTGCTGTTGAATTATATTTTCAGGTAGAAAAATAGAGCGGGAGCAAAACTGAGTATGATTGTGCTTTATTCAAGTATTTATTACAGAGTATTAATCAAACCCATCAAAGTCCTCATCCTCTGTTTCTGAATTAAACAGCTGCGCTAAATCCGACATGCCAGTTTCCCCTTCTTCTTCGTTTATTGACGCATAAATTAACTTAAAACATAGGCAGGATAATAATCTGGATGAACTGACTGCAATGATTAAATTTTCAGGTGGACTTTCTCACTTAAAAAGATTTAGATTATTTAGATGAAAAAACACCTGCGGAGGTGAGCCCTGATGCGCTGCGGCCCAGAGGCTGCTGTTGAATTAAGTTTTCAGGTAGAAAAATAGAGCGGGAGCAAAATTGAGTATGATTGTGCTTTATTCAAGTATTTATTACAGAGTATTAATCAAACCCCTCAAAGTCCTGATCCTCTGTTTCTGAATTAAACAGCTGCGCTAAATCCGACATGCCAGTTTCCCCTTCTGCGCTGTCAGTCACTTTCCGTGCAGAGCAGCTCCTCAGAAATAATGCCTGCTTTTGCGAAAGCTTGAACAACAGAGCCAGCAGACACAGTCCATCTACAATCCATCCGCAAACGGTGGCGTAACTTGCCCGGCGCTGCCTTCCATTTATCATGAAACTGTGGTCTCAGTCTGTCATCCATCGCTCCCACGCCGCTCGCAGCCTTACTGTGAACGGACGCTTCGATGTCGAGCGGTGGAAGCTCCTTTGTCAGACCCCCGGGATAACGGCGAGCACAGCGTTAATTTGATTCATCTTTTTTTCACATCGGCTGTGAGATGGGCACGCAGCGATGGTGATGCGTGGAAAAAACCACCTAGTCTTCTCACATACACCTGCCTCAGCCACGCATCCACCGAGCCTTTTCATTTGCGTTAATGTCATCAGAGCGCTGTCTGTCTCGCTGCCAGCTCCCAGATCAGCTTCTCTGATTGGTTGATGCGGCGCGTCCAGCAGCAAAACTTAAATTTTTCCATCTGAGCTGCAGCAGCGCTTAAACGCTCCCGACGTGCTGCACCAAAACGCGCTGCGGGACCTTTTGCTGTGCCTATACGCGCGTCAACCATTGACTTTGCATGTAAACTCGCTGCTTCTGCTGCACCTGCTGGGTCCGGTTCACACCGATGTCGAGCGGTTGAACAGCGAGCACAGGGTTAATTTGTTTCCCCATGTTTTTCACATCAGCTGTGAGATGGGCACGCATGGAGTTACATATTAACAGCGATGGTGAGGGGTGGAAAAAAAACACCTGGTCTCCTTACATTCAGCCACTCTTTCATCATCTCCTCAATGAGGTGGTCTCAAAAGTCGCAGTTACAACACACATAGGGCGCACCGCACATTTTGAGGGAAAAAAAAGACGTTTAAGTGCGCCTTATAGTCGTGAAAATACGGTATATATATATATATATATACTTTTATATATATATATACTTTTTTCTTTCCAGCCTGGTCTAAGAACCTATTTAAATATGTTGCTATTGTATGGTAAATGAATTTTTGCTGAATACTTTGTGCTTTTAACAAGAATATCATGAGCAGTTATGCTTGTGTAGGTGCAGTCGGGTCCTAACGGGATCAGGGGGTGCAGCTGGTACAATAAGCCGCAGACAGGTCTCAGTGTGTCATAAATACAAGCATCTTCCTGATACTAAAAGTAGTTAGCTGTAGATCATAAGTCAGAAAAGGCCTCCACATCAAAGAATGTTATTGATACCATCCTCAGGTTATTGATAGGAATAACAAATAGGATTCATTGTATTTATTACATGAGCAGCAAGAATTATTCAGACCTAAAATAGTTTAGATTGTCAACTGATTTATTTATTTAACCTGTTCTACTGTTAACTGAGACAGCTGAATACAGGTCAGCGTAAGACAGGAGAGGTTGAACTCATCCAATGATCCTTACCTGAAGAAGCTGATAATTTCAATGGTCCTTGAACTCATCAGCTATTAGGATGTTTTAAGGGGACTCCTACCACAGCCTCTGCTCCATCATATTCCAAACATGTTCTGTTTGCTGGGTTGACTGGGTTTCAAGCAAATATGCGATGATTGAACTGCTGGTTGGCAGAAGAAGCTGTTTCCCAGTGTGAAGCAAAGCAGCCAGTAGGAACCATTACCCTAGTTTACCACCAGCTCTGCTGTGTTTGCATGTAAAGCCAATCAGGTGTGTGGCCTCCACTGTAAATGTAATGAGACTTTAATGAACAATCCATAGATAAGTTGCATAAATGGGTCAGGTTATGCAATGATTTTTCAGCTCCTGGTTTCTATCACCTGTTTGGTGTTTAGTTTGTCCTCTGTTCCCAAGGGTCATCCTCATCTCTACCCGGTTAAAAATGATTTTATTACTGTAGATGAAGTTTATTTTCATAAAAGTGCTGCTGCATAATGGCTGTACACTCTGATCAACGTCACAGAAATTAGCATTCTTATTAGCTGCTTATCTGCTTTCTCCTTTTTGCACAGAATCTCTATTCAGTCTATTTTAATCAAATGGCATCTTGATGCGTGGCCTTTATCTCATATCTTCTCTCTCCCTGTCATAAACACTGTATGTTTTATACAAAATCTCTAAGTCTTACATTAAACTTCCCTGCCCCCCCTCCAGCCTTTTTAAATGCACAAACAAACAAAAGCTGCTTGCTACAATTCTGTTATTAGCATAGAAATCAAATCCCAGCCAGTGAAATGTGTTCTCCTTTGCTAACAAGATTTAAGGAGCCCAGTTTTCTCCGCAGTAAACAACAACTCCGCTATTCATCAGTGATGCTTCACCTGCATTGTACTTATTAGGTTTACCCCTCCCTCACGCACCATCGTTAGACACCTTAGAATGAAGAGGCTATATTACCTGCTTCACCTAATGAGATAAAGTTCTGGAAATTTAGGCAAACTTTGTAAAGAGCTGCACTTCTTATGCAGCTACAACAGGAGGAGGGAGCACCACTTTCTGTCTCTTAATGTTGGACTTTAAGTTTTAAAACCGGTTTCTTCTTTTTAACTTCACAAAACAGCACTGCAGTATCTTATCTGTTTTTCTCTCCAGGCGACGATGAACGCAAGACCTCAGAGGATTCTGGACTCTGGATCGTTGACGCAGTCTGCGCCAGCCAGTCCCACCAGCAAGGGCACCCACATTCATCAGGCGGGGTGAGGAAAGAGCCTCTTACACACAGGAGGCCTATGAAGTTCATGAAATGGATTTATCATGAACTCCAGGGACACATGCATCAATGGGCTTCTTGTTATTTAAGAAAAACAGTTGGATGTCATAAGCATCATTAGTAATGAGGACATTAAAGCTGCAGTAAAGACTCATGGTTTAAGTCCTGATTTATAGGAGCCAACCGTTTCTGCACAGATTAGGTTTTCAGGTTGTTTGTTATAATTTTTTTTCAGAAAGTGAAACTTATTTGTGTTAAAAAAAAGTCTTCATGCATCAATTGAAGTATTTCAAGGCTCTATTTCTTGCATTTTTCCCTTTATGGTTTCAAAATTATATTTAAAATGAGATCAATAAAACAGCGTCTCTATGGGGTTCAGGTGAGGCCAGTTTGAGGGTCAATTATTACAATAACACCACGGTCATTGAGCCAAGTTCTGCTCCCCTATGGCTGGAAGACCTGTTGGCAAAAAAAAGAGCATCTACTTAAATTTCTCAGTGGAAGAAAGCTCTGTGCTCAAAGCAACGTTTCCTGGTAGATGAGTGCTTCCTTCTGCTGATTACATTTTTCAGAAGTTCTTGGCATCAGCCCACCGTGTCAAAGGTATCAAATGCTGGTTCAGTCACCATGATGTTACTCTGCTGGACTGACCTGCTAACTCTGCTGACCTGAACTCCATAGAGCAGGTGTTTTTTTTTAACATTAGTCAAAAACCCATTTAGGTTCTGTTCATTGACTAAAATAATTTTAATATTTTCTAAAAAATAAAAAGAAACACATAAATTATTAATTCTTTTCTGTTGTATTTGGTATAATTATTTCCTGCATTTATAATCTTTTTAAACAGATTTTGCAAAAAGTGCATAACATTTTTAAAATTGGAGGTAAAAACAGTTTTTTTTATTTACTTCATTCTCCTCTGCTTCATTTTGTGCTGCTTAAAAATACTGGATAAACATTTACACACCGCTCCTCTCTAAACAAGACCTTGCAATGTATTGTAAATCAGTGTTGTAGTACTTCAGCATTCAAACCTTATCATGTCTCAGCCTCAGACAATGAGCTTTTTATTTCAAGAAGTGTGGAAATGCCATTTAATGCATCCTTTAAATCGTAATTTTAACTCTGATGGAAAATATTTAAGATTCAATATAAGCAGTAATAAACTTATTGCTTTTTATGTCACTGTGGTAATTTTTCCACCCAGCAGACAGGCAGCCTCTTCATTGCTGTCATTAGGAAACGGTCTCACCTGAAGAACAAACTGCACTTACACCTTGGGTTTGCTTTTACTTGCAGACGTCCCACTCTCTGGGCCTCTGATGTGATGTACTTATAGTCCTTCTAGGGACCTGTTGTATATTCAATTCAGTTTTTCAATTCAGTTTATTTATATAGCACCAATTCACAACACATGTCCTATCAAGGCACTTTACAGTTCACCAGATCATCCAGTCAAATTGATTGAAAGTTTCTATTCAAGGAAAACCAGTTGATTGCATCGACTCATTGACTCGGATGCAATCCCTCACACTAAGCATGCTTGTAGCGACAGTGGAGAGGAAAAGCTCCCTTTTAACAGGAAGAAACCTCCAGCAGAACCAGGCTCAGTGTGAGCGGCCATCTGCCGAGGCCGACTGAGGTTCAAGGAGACAGAAGCAGAGATAGAAAAAGCAGCTGTGAACAGGGCAGCCCCATCCAGGAAACACACAGCCAGGCAGACAAGCTCTGAGCCAACTCCCATTTTAGAGGATGAAGACAGCAGATCCAGCCAGTCACAGTCAAAGGCACAGGACTACTCTGGAAAACAGGCCAATCTCCAACATCTATAAACAAAGGTGTTTATGGCAGCAGCACAGCTGATATTTCTCTCCAGGATGGTGTCACAGCCAAACAGCAACAGACGAGGCAAAGCTACTATGAGAAAAGGCAGAGAGAGCATAATCGTTATATCTAGATTAAGTCATAATGGCGGTAGGACGTGGCTCAGGCTGGAGATGCAGTTAATATATAAAAGACCTTCAACTACTAAAGAAAGTTCTGACCAGAACATTTTGAACTCAAATCAAAACATATAGAAAACTGCAAATTAATTAGAAATTAGAAATATTTAAATTTAGAGAAAATTTCAATGTCACCTGATATGCATGCATCATATTAATGACAATATCTTTCTATCCTTAATGAATAAATAATCAAATCACGTTTTAAATTGAAGTTATTAGTAAACTTAAAGTACATATTTTAAATCAGAATCAGAAATAATTTAATTATCCCAGAGGGAAATATGTTTTTTAATGTTTTCTTTTACTTAATTTTTCCAGCGGCTCTCCACCTATGCCTAGTACCAGTAGCTCCAGCCTGACCAATGAAGTCCCCAAACCTCCTCCCAGAGAGCCGCCAGCAACACGCCCCCCCTACACCCCAACGCTGGGAGGACAGGCGCCCCACTCACACCAGTTCCCTCGGACACGCAAGATGTTTGACAAGGGACCAGAACAGGTATCTCATTAACAAAAAACTAGACATCCTCATCACTAGACCTCCTCATCACTAATCATTTCTGTTTTGCTATGATTCAGGCAGCTGAAGATGGCGAGGAGCCTGGTGGTCACAGGAACTACGTCAGTCTGGCTCTGCAGACGGGGTTATGTGACTGGAGCGCCAAGTACTTTGCTCAACCTGTTATGAAGGTTGGTGCCCTTTTTTTTAATGCTCCTCTCTCATGCTTTAGAAGATGCTGCAAATAAACCTGCTGTAGGACCATTTCTTATGAGCAATTGAATGTTATCAGTTGAAGATGCTTTACTTTGAAAGTCAGCCTCAAAATAGTCTGAGTGCAGTTTGTCAGAGATCCTAACTGTGAAGCATGGGGGTGGCTGCGTCATTATTAGTGTTTTCTACAACTGGACCTGATGGATAAATTAAGTAATGACAAAACACCATATTGGAGAACATCTAGAGCCATTTAGCTTAGCTACAAATGGATAATCTAAATGGCCAATAACCCTAAAGCTGGGCGTACACTGTGCGATTATCGGGGCTATCTTCCAGTCGTGCAAGAATTTTTTGATCATGCCCACTTTCAGCCTGATCATGAGTCGTGTAATGTACAGGGGGTTACGAGGGGCGATCAGCCTCTCACGAACGCCTCCTGATCAGGAATCTTGAGGTTCCCGACCGTTGTGGGCAAATCGCTCAGTGGGCATGAGCCAACAAGAATTCTCCTTTTTCTTCTTCCTCTCAGATATAAACCCAGAAGCATGGCGGGGGAGCAATGAGTGAAATGAAATTCTTTCTGTAAAATTGACAGACCATAGTAGCTACGTTTGCTTAGCCATGTCTTTGCCCAAACCGTGTGGTTTAGTTGTACAGCGTGAGCGGAAGCTGTGTGCAACAATTGAAAAAATCGCACATTGTATGCCCGCCTTATGCCTCCCACCATAATAGTCAACCATAGGCATGGCCTTGGAAAGTGGCAAGAGGGAGATTTAATCAACACAAGTTCATGGAATTTAGGATGTCATTGTAACGTCAAACAAGCTAGTGTGTCGTAATTAAGAAGGAGGAAATATGGCACAAAAACTAATTTTGAATTCGTCTGCTTATGAGAGACTTTATCTCTACGACCTCAGAGTTCACCTCAACAATTAGACACCTTTAATTAGGCAGGGCACCCTGCCTGTAACTAGGAGTAAGAGCATGTTAAGTAAGAGCTCTTTCATATCTATTCGCCCAGTTTAACTTAACCATGGTATTTGGTGTTATTTTGATCTTAGATTCCTTCGTAATGAAAAAAAATTATGGAAAAATAGAATAATTGAATAGTATAATAATATCATTATTTCCTTGTGGTTTGCTTTTAAGGATTTTGGAGCCAATAGTCTCACGTTTGACATAAACACTGTGTGTCAGTTTCAACCCAGCTAAACCAAATCTACATTGTGAAGTTTAATTAATAGTGCATATATTCATCTGAGAACTGATGATGATGATGTTGAATCTCAATTTACTTATTTATTTTTATTGTGTTTTAAAGGCCTATAGGCTCATAGGACTTCTGTCTAAAACAAACAAACCCTGTCCAAAGTACTTCCAGTGGCCCTGATCAAAAGCGTAATATTTAAGGAGAGAAAAAAGCTCATGGAGGTTTAGGTAAAGCATTTTAGTTTCCCAGTTTATAATAAATTCTTTCAAATGTAAATGAAATAGGTCAACTTCTGAAATAGAAGCATGCACAAAAAATTATGAAAATCATTCAGACACTTAGAAAATATCCACATTTTAAACTCCCCTCCTGATTTTAATCAGCAAATATGTTATTGATTTTTAAGACAGACTGCAGATAAAGGTAATATTTATTTTAATAAAGCAAATATACACATCTAATTTCAGCTGTATTCCACAGGTAGATGTTTAATTGTAAATGGGCTGTTTTTATTTCGTACTTTTAAAGTGTTTCTGATGTCTCAAAAACTATAAGAATCTAAAAGTTAAACTCTCACATTCAAAGAAACATTTTTACATCTCTTTTTAAGCTGTGTTGTGTATTTTATTAACACACAATCACCCATAAGGGGATCAGACACAGATCAGCCGTCAGTGTCTTTCTAAGGACCTTTCAGCTCTTCTATCTATGGAGCCAAGGATCAAACCAGTAACCCTTTGACTGACTGACAAATACTCTGCTTTTATATTTATCAATCGTTGTTGCTAAGCAACAGTGAAAAGAATATGACCAGTTATTTTCCGTTTTCACATATTCATGTGAATTTTCATTATAGCTGTTTGTTTATGCCCGTTCTGCTGAGGTTTAGGAACGCGGTGATCCATTCAGGTACAGAGAGTCGGGGGTTTTTAAAGTTTATTTTAAAAAGTATTAAACTTGTAGAGGAAATGGTAAAGTAGGGACCAATCACTGGGAGGAGGAAACACCTGCTTCCTATTGAAGATGGCTTTGCTAAATAATTAAGCTCTCTGAGCTCCATAATGTAACATCTTCCATAGGGAAACTTTAGATTTAGAGCAGTGATTTTGCTATGCCTGGTAGTTGGAAACTAAACCAGGATGATAAAAAAAGCCCTGATTTAGAGGATCTGATGCATTTTGTTGCACATTTTTAAAAAGCAGATGGTTGTTTACACCATGTTTAATATTCTTTTTCATTATCGTCTGTATTAGCTTTTATTTAATGACTAACCTAATGTTACCTTAAATACATATCCATATTAGAAAAAAGATTTTTTTTTTAACTAAATCTAAAAGGAAACCATTCGGAAACAATTCCGTCCTGATTTCAATGTTCTTGATATTTAATTTCACTTCATTATAAAAAGCGAATTTTTTAATTGCAGTGGACAGATTTTTTTTTACGGGATAAGTATTCTTATATTATGGTATTTACACAAACATTCAAGGCCAAGGTATTTAACTACCAAGGGCAAAAACCAGTATAATAATTATGTCAATATTTATATATGTCATCATTTCAAATGTAAAATTACATTGGTATTTGTAAATATTTGTTTGCCCAAACAATTTAATGAATAAATACATGATATACTATTTTAATATGAATATATCACTGCAGTATGTCTTGCTGTACACAATCCAGCCCCTTTAAGAAGTGTATCGGGTCTTTGGCCGGAATAAAGCCTGGAAAAGGGAAACTATCTGGGTAGATAAGTATCGAATCACTCCTGGAAAGGGAGCTAATTTCAGATTTGATGAAATGTGAATTGAACAAATTCTATCAATGAATACATGAAATTACTAAATTGGAATTTATTTATTTAATGGGAATTAAAACAAATACATTGGCATCCCAATTGCTTAGGTAGAAATCTTGATTGCTGCAGTTCTTGTTATCTTATTTATTAAAATCAAAACCCTTTTAATCCCTGGTCAAACAGCTGATGGTAAACCAAAACACTAATTTTTCTTTCTTGGATCTTACTGAAAGTAACATTGTACTGTAGGCTTTAATAAGTAACTGCAGGGGTTTTATTAAAGGCTGGAAATCATTAGTGCACTGAAATAAAGAGTAAATATCAAAAGCCTGACATATAAGTTGCCAGTTTAAGTCCCACTGGAAGCAGACTCCAGCTGAGTGCCTAATGGCCTAAAGGCATTTTAGTCGGTACAACGTATTGGTAACATTAGCTCACTCTCTAAAGATCAGAGCCACTTTTAAGACTACTGTTATGTAGCTCCAAACTAATTCCAGTACACGCAGAATAAATATCATTGCAGCGCTATATTTAACTGCAGATAGTAAATGGTAATGATAGAGGTCTTTCATTAATGACTTTTCTCTTATTTCACTGCTGCTATTAAAAACACTGTCAATAACTAATGGTCTAATGAGAAAAAGAGGGAGGGGGGAGCACATTACAGTACTTTCTTAATCCCTAAATAGCATTGTGTTTACTTCTTCAAAGTTTTCCTGAACTTTGGAGACAAGTAGAGCACAGATGCAGCACTGTGGCATGACATGTGAGCAATACTTCGTTCATGATGTTTTTAGCATTCTTTGAGTTTTAAATAACTAAAATAAGCTGAAGTATTTTAATATGAACTTGGTGTTAGAGGCGTGTGAAAAGTGGAACTTGGTGCATCATGGATCGTCCTTTAGAATCACAGCAATCCATGCAATAGGAAAAAGATGAATTCAAGTGCAATATAACCCTAACAAATTTGTTTTTAGTCTTGATTTTAAAATCTTTGGGTTTAAGTAATTTTTAAGTTTTTCTGGGAGCTTTTCCAGATTAGCTGAGCTTTAAAACTAAAAGTAGTTTTTCCATGTTTTGGTCTGGTTTGGGTATGCTGAATAGATTCGAGTCAGAAGACCTGAGAGTTCTGGGCGGTTAATATACTGACATTTCTGTGCTATTGTAAGCCATTTAGTGATGTGTAGACTATCAGAAGTGTTTTGAAGTTTTTTCACTGAGATATGGGGTGCCAGTGAGATGATTTTAGAACCGTGGTAATGTCTTAATTTTTTTTGTTTTGGTGAAGATGAGGGCAGCACCAATCTGGATCAGCTGCAGTTGTTTTTCATGCAGACCTGTCAAGGAACAAATCTATTAATCATTTCTACTAAAGAAGAATTCATGCTTATTCTATGTCCTGCAGAGACATTATTCCTTTAATATCAGACATGTTCCTTAGGTGATATAAGGCTGACTGTGTTGCTATCTTTATATACCTCTGAAGGGTTAGGTCTGCATCCATTACTACACATTTCTAGCTGTATTAACTGAAACTGTGTGCCGACTTTTAAGCACTCTTCTTTTGGTCCAAGACCAAAATTACTTCGGTTTTGTTTTGATTCAGCTGAAGAGATGGACAGTTCTGTTCTCGGGAAGTCGTGACCTACAAAAATGAAGAATGAGCCACTGATAACCTTTCTGATTGGTCCTTAAAAACCCAGTGAACTATGTGTTTCACTGTTTGTGTCTCTCCGATGGGGTGTGTCATTATTTAGTGTCCAATCCCTACATTTGAAGTAGTCAGCCGGCTCTTCACTGCAACAACTACAGACAACCTTGACCCTTGAAAAGAGAAATCTTCCCAGTTTCTCCTAACCTTGTGACTCACACAATACAGATAACTTTTGAATCTTTGTTGCAAGTACTCTGACTTCTGGAGGGTATAAAAAAATGGAATTAAAAGGTGTAAAAGAGGATTTTCC